GTTATCTCGACATTGACAGACACCATTTTGACAGGTTACACCATAAGAACCCGCGGGGTCACAATTACAAGCTTCACATTTAGGGAAATTGTAATAACCAGCACCACAAAGATTACACTTTGGTCCACCAAATCGAGGTGCACATGTACACCGACCAGTCGAGTCACAGGTTTGATTGACCGACCCAACAGGATCACAGGCACAAAGTGTACAATTGGGAAAACCATAGTAACCTGGTTCACATTTGTCACATCGATCGCCTCCGAATCCAGGTTTACATTTACATTGACCATTTTCGGTGTTACAAATGTCATCAGTGGTTCCAAGGGGATTACAATCACACGATTGACACTGGGGATAGTTATAGAATCCAACTGAACAATAGTCACATTGACGACCGGAAAATTGTTTCCTGCAGCTACACTGACCATCAGTCCTGTTACAATTTGGTGAATCAGAACCAGCAGAGTCGCAATTACATCGTTGACATTCAGGGAAACCCCAATAATCTGGAGCACAAGAGCCACAGTCTAAACCAGAATAAGCATCTTTACAGGCACACTGACCACTACCAGGATCACACAATTCACCAACGGTACCATTACGATAACATGGACATCGAGGACATTCAGGTTCTTTATAATAACCATAAGCACATACATCACACGCTGGAGCATTGATGAAATTATCTCTACACTGACAAGTACCGGTGCCCGAATCACATCCTCCAGTTTGACTTGTTTTCGTACAATTACATTTAGTACAAACATCGGTGGCATTAAGTGGACGACCTTCGGCTCGATAAAAGCCAAATTTACATTCGTGACAATTGTGTCCAGTTGTGTGGTGTTTACAGTGCATACAAACTCCTCCGCCAGAATATTTACCATGAATGTCCATTGAAGTTCCTTGTTTTTCAACCTCTTCATCGAATTCACATTCATGGGAGTGACCATTACAGTTACACTTTTCACATTCAAAGGGATTGTCCGGTGTAGCGGCTCGCCATCTTTTCTGGACATATCCGGTTTTACATTTTTCACATTGAGCACCAGCAGTGTTGTGTTGACACGCACAGTTCAATTTATCGGGATGATTTTGATCGGTAACATCACAAGTCTCAGCGTGACCATTACAAACACATCGACCTCCAATGTTAATATCACGAATACTGTAAAAATACTGAATTTCAAAACAGGAAGAAAAAAGATTCGATAAAAAATCAACAATAATTCAAAAGAAAAAAAAAGTGAAAACTTACTCGTCGAGTTACTGTTTGGTCAACATTCAGTAAATGTCCAAATGTCGTTTGTGGCCTTATAAATCTAAGTCGTACATTAGTGGCTTTGGTAAATTCTTGAAGAACCTCAGAACTGGTGAAATTATCACCACTTGGACGTTTTTCAATCAAAGAAACAACCATCTAATTAGAAAAGAATAAAACATTAATAATTCTAATTAGAATCGTCAATCGAATCGTAATTTAAATAAATTGTCGTTCGCTCACTTCTCCGTTTTCCAAGGGAATTAACTTTGAATATTTGGTCTCACAAATTACTTGGTCATCTAACTTTAAAGGTCGAACACTTTCTTCGCCGAATTGTTTGATACATTCTTCACGGGAATCAGCGAAATACATCCAGGGCTTAAAAGATTTACCACTGTCGGTAGATCGCTCGAGAACCCAAACGCCTGGTCGAGGTGAATTAGCCATAGAAATATAAACATATGCTACATGGAATTCCTGTTGATGGAACAAAATTATTCGTATTAATCAACAAAATAACGAATTCTAATCAAGATAATCACATCACCAATCCCTAATCATAGTCTTCTTATTAATATTCAGTTGGGTTAATTAAACAATTTACCAAATAACTGATTGTGTTCAATTAGCAAATCAAGTTTAATCTTGACATTATTAAGTATCAATAATAAAAATCCAATCGTTTAATCAGTAAAATTTAATCAACTCCAATTTCTTTGCTAATTTATCATTAAAATGTGAACATAATCTAGTGATTGCTAATCTCTTATTCTTATGTACATATGATTAGTGTCAAAAAGACTCAATCAACTCAATAAGGTCTAAGGTTAACCTTATGACCTGAGAACTGTGATAAGGTTAAAATGCATATACTCAATGATAAAATATCGTCATCATGATAAAGTTTAATTGGAAAACGAAATCAAGTAACAATTTCAATGACGTTTGTCTGAGTTGATTAGTGATTAATGGAAAATGAAAGGTTTAAAATTAGCATGATAATCAATAAGAATTGAGTCTATGATTTAATCCATAGTTACACTTTATTTTCCAATGAAAAAAAAGATGAAAACTTTTCTCTTAAGCAATTAACTAGCTAATCTAAACTAAAGATACACTAAACATGTTGACTGTTGGTGAGAAATAGACTTGGCATTTATCCGAATTGTTAACGTAACATCCATTTCCTTTGAGCGTTTATCTTCATCTTAACAGTTAAGCTCATTTTTCCTCCATAGACTAATCTTACACAGAGAAGAGAGAGAGAGAGTCTGGTTGAAGTTAAAATTAACTTAAATGGTTCAAAATCCTAGAATCTTAATAATTAGAATGATAATTAGATGAGTTTTTCTTCTGGTTTAGATGCGAGTGAATTTGCACCGAAAGGCAGAAAAAAAAAAGATAAACAGAAAGAGAGAGAAAGGAAAAAAGAAACGGAAATGGAAATGAAAACATTTCGAGAGATGAAAATTTCTTGGATATTAACCAAGTTTAACGAGTTTCACATTTTCAAACAATTAACTAATCCTATCATTTAAATTTACTCTAGTATTTAAATCAGCCTATCGATAGGGATAAAAATATTAACTCCTTTTTGAAAGGAAAGGATTGAGATTTAGGATTTGGAGCAAAATTTTAATTGTTACTTATTTTGTTTCAATTTTTATTCCTAAAATTTATTGATAATTAATCAATAAGAATTGATTATCTTGAGGTGGTTAGAGTTTTAATTAGTTTGTTTCGGATTTAACTTACCTGTCCTAAATCAATTGTTAGATTAACTCGAGCGGCTTCAGGTCCTCGTGACAATGGCGGCGATTGCCACCATTTGGGTGAGCCATCGATTGCGAACTCAGCTGGATGAGCTTTCTTTGGGTCATTGGGGTCACAATAATCACAAGCTTGACCCTGAACAACTTGACCCTGATTATGATCAATATTATTGTTATCTGTCCACATAGAACCGATAATTTTACAAAAAAATTCTTTTCCAACTTTTTCACCACAAGTTTCGGTTGCATGGATTTTCCGACCTTCGGCAATATTGAAATAAGGTGGATTAAGAACTTCCGATTGTGTTAATTGTAAGGTGAATAGAAGAGTCAACGAGATCACAATTAACCAATTCATTGGTCTCACATTAATCGATACACTGGTCATCTTAATCCGATTTGTATTGAGATCTTCTTGCTGTCCACAATTTTGGATTAGATCAATAGTAAGAGTCTAAAATTAGACTCAAGCAATAATTATTACACAGATTTAGAAAAAAAATTGACTAATTAACTAAATTAATTAAAGTTATTAAACTATTCTAATTGAGATTAGCTGATTGTTTGACCACAAGAAAAAATAAACTACAAAAAAAAGACTTTTATGTAAAAAAGTCCATCGAGATTTAGCTTAACATCTCGTTAGTAAAACAAAGTTAAAATTAACAGAGAGATGGAGATGATGAAGATGCTGATGGGGGAGTCATTGGTGTTCTCATCCTCATCTTCATCTTCAGACAAATTTAGAGGAGAAAAAGGAAAGGGAGGAGAAGAGAATGAGAAAAAACAGAGATACTGATAAAAGATGATCTAAGATGAAGAGAATTTGAAGGTCTTGAAGATGAAAAATATAAGAGAGAAAGAGAGAGAGAGAAAAGAAAGAAAATTTATGTCTCATCATTTGTCTTTCGTTTTCTCTTTCTTCGTCTGCATCTTTATCTTCCTCTTCCTTCTATTCATACAGAGATTTTTCTTTCTTTATCTTCCTTTCTTCCTCCAAGATGATACTGTTTGTCCAAAAAGCTTGAGAAAATGGAGAAAATACTAATAATACATTTGGAATGTCCATCGGTCTTTTCGCTTGACCAGCAACAATGAGAATGACCAACACACTAGGACTTTTAGGTTATTCATCTTATTGTTTGGGTTTTAGCCTTAAACAACCGTACTTGTTTAACCCTTAGAGGCAAAAGTTATCTGATCCCAGGTCAAATAGATGACCTTAACTAAGGAATAAATAACAACTTTTTTGGTAAAAAAAAGAATCTTGAAATTTTTGATAAAAAAATTGACTAGGAAACAATTAGTTGATAATCTGGATTAAAGATAACTTTTCTATCATTTTGATTAGATTTATCTAATCTTTCATTTCCAACAATTAAGATCAATGAAACAAAAAAAGGATGAAGACCATTTAAATAGGGGATTTCTGATTTATAAAAAGTTTTGCAATTAATCGGTAAAAGTTAAAAGAGTAATTAAGTCTAACCCAATAAAAAAAATTACTAATAATATTGAGATCAAATGATAAAATTCTAGTTGAATTTTTAATGAGAAGATAGCTTATTAGGTTAGTATCTTATTGTGGAAAATAATGGACTTTCTCACCTCACCTTTCTCTATTACTAATTAATACTGTTAAATGTTAAAATGTCATGTTCGAACTGCGGAAGATCGAGGTAAAAAGTGCAAATGAATTCATGGGGGTTGAGAAAAGAGTTGAAAGGTTAAACTTTAGAAAAGTAAAAAAGAATCAAAAAGTGTCTACAACACCGGGGGTTCCCAAGTGGTCTCCCTCCCAAGTACTAACCCGGCCCGAAGCTGCTTAACTTCGGAGATCGGACGGGATCCGGTGCTTTCAGCTTGGTATGGTCGTAGACGAAAGAAGTGTGAATAAGTGTCTTTATAAAACTACATGTATAGTAAACAAACGTGAATAATATATTGAGAGATGATTAGAGTTTGTTTGTTTGTTGTTTTTGACAATTGTTTTATTGTTTTCTTTTTCATTTGAGAAACTATGACCTTGATTTTGATTTAACAACAAATAAAAACATTGTAATAATTATTAAATCGATACAATTAGTTTAATGTTTCAAGTTTATTTCCGTAAACATTTAGGGAAATTGTAATAACCATAAGCACATACATCACAAGCTGGAGCATTGATGAAATTATCTCTACACTGACAAGTACCGGTGCCCGAATCACATCCTCCAGTTTGACTTGTTTTCGTACAATTACATTTAGTACAAACATCGGTGGCATTAAGTGGACGACCTTCGGCTCGATAAAAGCCAAATTTACATTCGTGACAATTGTGTCCAGTTGTGTGGTGTTTACAGTGCATACAAACTCCTCCGCCAGAATATTTACCATAAATGTCCATCGAAGTTCCTTGTTTTTCAACCTCTTCATCGAATTCACATTCATGTGAGTGACCATTACAGTTACACTTTTCACATTCAAAGGGATTGTCCGGTGTAGCGGCTCGCCATCTTTTCTGGACATATCCGGTTTTACATTTTTCACATTGAGCACCAGCAGTGTTGTGTTGACACGCACAGTTCAATTTATCGGGATGATTTTGATCGGTAACATCACAAGTCTCAGCGTGACCATTACACACACATCGACCTCCGATGTTAATATCACGAATACTGTAAAAATACTGAATTTCAAAAGAGCAAGAAAAAAGATTCGATAAAAAAAATCAACAATAATTCAAAAGAAAAAAAAAGTGAAAACTTACTCGTCGCGTTACTGTTTGATCAACATTCAGTAAATGTCCAAATGTCGTTTGTGGCCTTATAAATCTAAGTCGTACATTAGTGGCTTTGGTAAATTCTTGAAGAACCTCAGAACTGGTGAAATTATCACCACTTGGACGTTTTTCAATCAAAGAAACAACCATCTAATTAGAAAAGGATAAAACAATAATAATTCTAATTAGAATCGTAATTTAAAGCAAATTGTCGTTCGCTCACTTCTCCGTTTTCCAAGGGAATTAACTTTGAATATTTGGTCTCACAAATCACTTGGTCATCTAGCTTTAAAGGTCGAACACTTTCTTCGCCGAATTGTTTGATACATTCTTCACGGGAATCAGCGAAATACATCCAGGGCTTAAAAGATTTACCACTGTCGGTAGATCGCTCGAGAACCCAAACGCCTGGTCGAGGTGAATTAGCCATAGAAATATAAACATATGCTACATGGAATTCCTGTTGATGGAACAAAATTATTCGTATTAATCAACAAAATAACGAATTCTAATCAAGATAATCACATCACCAATCCCTAATCATAGTCTTCTTATTAATATTCAGTTGGGTTAATTAAACAATTTACCAAATAACTGATTGTGTACAATTAGCAAATCAAGTTTAATCTTGACATTATTAAGTATCAATAATAAAAGTCCAATCGTTTAATCAGTAAAATTTAATCAACTCCAATTTCTTTGCTAATTTATCATTAAAATGTGAACATAATCTAGTGATTGCTAATCTCATATTCTTATGTACATTTGTTAGTGTCACAAAGACTCAATCAACTCAATAAGGTCTAAGGTTAACCTTATGACCTGAGAACTGTGATAAGGTTAAAATGCATATACTCAATGATAAAATATCGACTTCATGATAAAGTTTAATTTGAAAACGAAATTAATGGAAAATGAAAGGTTTAAAATCAGCATGATAATGTATAAGAATTGATTATCTTGAGATGGTTAGAGTTTTAATTAGTTTGTTTCGGATTTAACTTACCTGTCCTAAATCAATTGTTAGATTAACTCGAGCGGCTTCAGGTCCTCGTGACAATGGCGGCGATTGCCACCATTTGGGTGACCCATCGATTGCGAACTCAGCTGGATGAGCTTTCTTTGGGTCATTGGGGTCACAATAATCACAAGCTTGACCCTGAACAACTTGACCCTGATTATGATCAATATTATTGTTATCTGTCCACATAGAACCGATAATTTTACAAAAAAATTCTTTTCCAACTTTTTCACCACAAGTTTCGGTTGCATGGATTTTCCGACCTTCGGCAATATTGAAATAAGGTGGATTAAGAACTTCCGATTGTGTTAATTGTAAGGTGAATAGAAGAGTCAACGAGATCACAATTAACCAATTCATTGGTCTCACATTAATCGATACACTGGTCATCTTAATCCGATTTGTATTGAGATCTTCTTGCTGTCCACAATTTTGGATTAGATCAATAGTAAGAGTCTAAAATTAGACTCAAGCAATAATTATTACACAGATTTAGAAAAAAAATTGACTAATTAACTAAATTAATTAAAGTTATTAAACTATTCTAATTGAGATTAGCTGATTGTTTGACCACAAGAAAAAATAAACTACAAAAAAAAGACTTTTATGTAAAAAAGTCCATCGAGATTTAGCTTAACATCTCGTTAGTAAAACAAAGTTAAAATTAACAGAGAGATGGAGATGATGAAGATGCTGATGGGGGAGTCATTGGTGTTCTCATCAAAGCGTAATAGCAAGAGAGAGCACTTGAATGAATTGAAATTGAATTTAACCATCGATGCAGTTTTATCTCTCCTTATCGATACATTTCATGAAGTGCTGTCTCTTGTTATTACTCTTTGGATGAAACAGAGATGCTGATAAAAAATGATCCAACCTGACTATCTATCATTTTGATTAGATTTATCTAATCTTTCATTTCCAACAATTAAGATCAATGAAACAAAAAAAGTTTGATTTCTGATTTATAAGAAACTACTTCATTCGATTTATAATATACATAGTATATTTAGAAGAAATGATTTAGTAATTAATTGCTCATAAAATTAATAAGATCAAATGATGAAATAAAATTCTATTCAAGTTCTAAGTTTTAATAAGAAGATAGCTTATTAGGTTAGTATCTAATTGTGGAAAATAAATGGACTCTCTCGCCTCATTTTTCTTTACTTTTCATTTTTTAAATGTCATGTTCGAACTGCGGAAGATCGAGGTAAAAAGTGCAAATGAATTCATGGGGGTTGAGAAAAGAGTTGAAAGGTTAAACTTTGGAAAAGTAAAAAAGAATCAAAAAGTGTCTACAACACCGGGGGTTCCCAAGTGGTCTCCCTCCCAAGTACTAACCCGGCCCGAAGCTGCTTAACTTCGGAGATCGGACGGGATCCGGTGCTTTCAGCTTGGTATGGTCGTAGACGAAAGACAAGCCAATAAATTGATTTATAAAACTAAAAAACGATTCACCATCTTGACACTTTTCTATCCTTCGTCCATTTTACTTTCAGCACTTCTTCGTTCCTATGTATTTGCTTCACGAAATAATAAAAGGTTATCTTTAAATAACGTATGGGGAATAAAAATGAGAACGATTTCAGCGAATGATTTCTCGAGAACCAATCATCGGATTAACTTTGGATTTGTAAGACAATGTTTATCATAGTCTTTTTGTTAAGGCGAGAAAAATTTATCCGAATGATTCACACGGAATGAAAATATCGAAGTTTGAACGGAGCAATGTTTTTATATTCTGTGCGAGCAACGCTAAAACCTCATAGGAAAATTTAGAGGGCGCTCGTGATTCCTTAATTTTAAGGCTAAAAATCGACTTAATTGTTTATAATTAATAATCATTAAGCATTTTTGTTCCAATTTTAAATGCAAAATTTTTTAGTAGGTTATTCTTCAAGTTTTAGAAAAGATAGAATAAATTGGACAAGAAATAGGCTCAGAACATTAAATCAAAGTTATGTCATCCGACTAATAGAGAGAACCAGATAAAAAATAATTAAAAGCTATTGATTTGTATTAAATACGGTAATCATTTAATAGACACTACAGTCTATCTGTGTGCGAAAATCTTGTACTTATGTGACTTCTTTCACGAGAAAATCATTATCGAAAAAAATTCTCATTTTTATTCCCCATACGTTAATAGAATTGCCAAAATATTTATAAACTGCTAATTTCAAGATAACAGTAAGTTTTTTGCAAATATCTTAGAATTGATCATCACCATCATCCTCAATACCTCTTCATGACTATAACTGAATCAGATAATAGATTGAAATCACACTGATCGATCCTTATTCATGATTTATTGCTGATCTTCTCAAATTGTTCATTGGTATAAGTTTTCAGTGTCAATGCATGAATTGTTCCCATTGTATCTCCAAGCGCACTATGGACCATTCGATGACGTTCAAGTAATGGTTTTCCTTCAAATTGTGATGAGACGATGACACAATTAAATTTAGATCCACATCCACAAGAAAAATCTTCAACAGTCTAGGTAACATAAAGAAAATGAAAAAAAAGAAAATGAATGAGCAAAAAGATTACAATTGATCATTTCCAACGGAATACTCACCAAATGAGTTGGTTTCAACTTTTCTTCAATCAGATTATGAACAAATTCTTGAGATACCATAATTAAAATCAACAACAATTAATCAAAATTGTGAATAATTCGTTACGAAAGATAAACAACAACAATTAAGAGCTAAACTAACAGGATAAGAAAACCAAATCAAACCGAAAACAAGAGGGAAAAACATATGATCCGAAAAGGCGGTTAATTCAGATTCGATTTGAGAAAATTTTCAAATCGAATCAAAATCAATAATCTTAATAATTTGAACTAATAATAGAAAAGTAAGTTACGAATGATGAAAAATTATAATGATTTGCGATGATTTTCAAAGATAATCAAACAAACCAAATTTGGATTAACTTATTATCCTAAACAATTAGTGAGTAATTTAAGCTCAGTGTATCAAATTAAATCAAACAAATTGAACAATTAAGCAAATTATTGTGAAGAGAGAGCAAGAAAAAACTGAAAACAATGAGACAGAAATAAGATAATCAATCAATTAAATAGATAAAATCAGAGCAATTACCAAATCATTTGGATTACCATGAAATCAGATAATAAATGAGATCTAAATTTAAATTGTTGAACTAAATCATTGGAAAATTAATCCAATATTCACGGTCAAATTAAAAAGAAAAACTAAATTATCTTTTCTATTATCATGATTAACTAATCATTTCCCTCATCTTTCACAATAACAAACATGTTAACAATCAACAGATTAGGAAAATATTAAAGTTAATTGTAACCAATTGTGACCAAACCTTAATCTTTACCTTTTGTTGATCAATTGATTTGATTTGAAAATTGTTATTATTTGTTGATTGTTAAAAATAAATTGTTATCATTTTTAAGGAGGGGGAAAGGTAAAGATTAGGATTATCAATACAATAATCATCTTCATCTTCATCATATTGATGATAATCAAGATCATGATCATCATGGAAAGTGAACTGAGTTCAATGTTCAGTTAATCAGAATTGATGAATTTAATTTTTTACTTATAAACTGTTAAACAATTTAAAACTTTCGTTTATTGTTTGAAATCATAATCACTAAATTATGACGATAATAATAAAAGATACAATTTGACGACACTGAAAGTTTTAACTCTAATTGTTATTAAATGATTATAATTGATTTGATTGAAAGTCACGGCAATCAAAATGAGTGAAAGGATTCACTTGTTAATTGTTAATTGATTGATATAGAACAATAATATTTAATTTCTATTTCTAATTGTTGTAGAGTATTTATTAATTGTTACCATTAAACAGCATCTCAACCAATATAATTTCATTTAAACTCTCTAATCATGATTAAGATTACTTGTCGATTATCCTTACCTCTCAATTTACTTTTAATTGTTTATAAATAAATACGTTTATGAACTGGATTAATTGTTCATTTAACCAAATTAGCAATCAATTAACTGCGACCTCTTAATTTTTATGGTCAGTTAATTTTCGCGCTTTCTAATCTGATTAGATGATTAATATTTATTTTGATGATGAAGACAGTTAAGAAGATGCTTTAATGATGATAAATAGTAACAATTAACCAATTGATTTATAATTTACTGATTTACGTTTAATTGAGAAAATAATGAGTCAAGATCAGCACGCAACTGATGGAGAGATGATGTTGTTGGTGCGAAACAGACAATTGAATATGAGAGAGCGAAGCTAAAAAAAGTTCTCAATTTCGACGAAAACTTTTATTCCTCATCATCATCATCTCTCTCTTTCTCTTTCTCTTTCTCTTTCTCTTTCTTCTCCTCATGGTCTCATCATGTTACTTTTCATTCTCAGATGCATCTATCCTTTTATCCCTTCTATTCCTTTGGGGATCGATTAGGATAATCTTCTTATTAGCTCGATTCTTGCAAAAAATGGATTCAGTGTGAAAGATGAAAGTAGTTTATCCTAATCGATCCCCAAAGGAATAGAAGGGATAAAAGGATGGAGGATAGATGGATAGATGGATCTGAGAATGAAAAGTAAGATGAAAAGTAACATGATGAGACCAGGAGGAGAATAAAGAAAGACAGAAAGAAAGAAAGAAAGAGAAAGAGAGAGAGAGTGGGCGAGACAAAGAAGAGATGATGAGGAGGGAATAAAAGTTTTCGTCGAAATGGAAAACTTTTTTTAGCTTCGCTCTCTCATATTCAATTGTCTGTTTCGCACCAACAACATCATTTCCCCATCAGTTGCGTGTTGATCTTTACTCATCATTTTCTCAATTGTTTCTCCAATTTTTTTTTTCCTTCAAAATGATCATTATTATAATTTTCTAAACTGTGTCCAGTTATGTGTAACTTATTAATCATCTGATTAACTGAATTGTCCATCACTCGACTACTAAACACCGAGCAAATCATCATCACCGATTTAATATCTCTCTGTGTCTCTCGATAATCGGATAATTTTCTGTTCTTCTTTTGCTAATCTGTTTATTTCTCCTTATTTATAATCATCATTGTTTCACCATTGGATTCTAATCAGTGTGTTCAACTTTAATACATTGATCGTTCTCCCTGTGATTTACTGATTCTCGTTAAATTAACTTGCAAATTGAAATCAAATAACAACAATCAAGAGAAAAGCGAAAAACAAAAGTATTTTGTGTAACCGGATTAACTTCATGTTTCACTTATTGTGGATAAAAACCCGTTAATCTGTTTTTCCTTCATGTTGTGACCCATTGATCCACATGGATCGGATTCACCTGATAAATTATATTATTTATTTATTGTGATTAATCTTTGATTGATATTTTTAATCCTTTTCTTGAATTATGGTTGATTTTACTCCTGTTTTACCTGCTTTACTTCCGCTTGCAACACTATTATGGATTCGAGCTGCTGACCATTCGGTCAGTATATCAAGAAATAACTGGGAACCAGAATATGATTATATTATTGGTAAGTTTGTTTTTCTCAACTAATTGAGATTCGAGGTAAAAGTTTATATAAAATATTTTTACCGATATTATTACCTGAATATTGTAACTAAATTTAAAACTTATTTGTGTTTAACTAAAGTGGGTGGAGGATCAGCAGGAGCTGTTCTTGCCAATCGATTATCGGAAAATCCTGGATGGAGAGTGTTACTTTTAGAGGCGGGGGGATCGGAGTCCATATTAAGTGACATTCCCATAGCAGCGGCAACTTTACAAATGACCCCGATTGATTGGGCCTATCAAACGGAGCCACAAGAAGCCTCATGCTTTGGATTAATTAATCGACGAAGTCGCTGGCCTAGAGGTCGTGTATTAGGCGGCTCATCAGTTCTAAATTACATGTTGTACGTTCGAGGTAATCGACGAGATTATGATACATGGGCAAAGATTGGAGCCTTTGGATGGTCATGGGAAGAGGTTTTCCCCTATTTCCTTAAATCGGAAGACAATCGAGATCCGAGTCTTGTATATAACGGTAATTAATTTTTCTCATCTCAATTACTTCAATACTCTCAAACTTATATATGAAACAATTAATTATATTTTAAACTTAATCAACTGAGAGTAAATATTAACATTACATTGAAAAGAGTTAACAGAAAGTGTTGATTACATTGGTTCGTTATATTTAGTTTATTGATTGATTGATTGATTATTTATAGTTGATTGTGATTGGATTTGATTAAATGAGTAAACGTGACAGGAGAAAGAAAAATTAACTTATTATTAAGCTGATAATAATCGTTAATATTAGTTGTTAACAGTAAATAGTGAATCTATTTAATCGTGATAATTGAATTGATTGTAACTATTTAACTTCTCTATGAAGGTTAAACTCTAAGGGTTTTCTGGGCCAAGTTAATAACGAAAGGGCTTCTATTTACCACTTCTAATAAATTGGTTACTCTTTAAATTATTATTTAATCATCATCATCATCACATTATCATCAACGTATTTAACAATCAACACAATCAATTTAAAGTTAATCAATAGAAAAAGTAACCCTAACATAAAAAGCAAAGTTTCTACTTGACAACCGTTTAGATGAAATAATTGACCTCAACCTTCAACCTGATTAATGTTTATTAGCATTATTTTATTATATCGTTTTGATTGTTATCATTATTATTAAGTTTACAGTTATTACCATTATCATCTTTATCATAGTCAATTACACTGTTGTCAGATCCACAAGATTCACATTAGATTTCAGTATAAAGTAGCTTGAGATTAATTTGACTGGTAAGAAAAAATAATCGTTACCACAATTATTAATCATATTTTACTTGTTATTATTATTATTTGATGGAAAATCCTTTCATTTGAACATTTCTGTACCGTTATGAATACATTGTATGTATATAAATATATATTAATACAATTCATGTGATGAAATGTGATTAATTTCATGATAAGGATGATTGAAGATTCAGTTCTCTAAACTTGATTTCAGAAAAGTGAAGAGGGTAAAAACCATCTCCATCTTTTGTAGTAAGATGACGATACAGAAGAAGTGATGATATTGCTGATGAGAGAGAGAGAGAGAGAGAGAGAGAGAGAGTAAGTGAATGAGTGAATGAGTGAATTTATGCAAAAACGTTGGAAAAGAAAAAATTGAAAGGGAAATGCAATAAACAAGATCAATCGAAGCAAATCGTTGATATTGTGGCCTTAAGAGCGATAACGAATGATAAAAGGTCTCGATGAGCCGGTTAAAGGTCTTCACTTCTCAGTCTGTTAATTACAACACTCTTGTGTCTTTCGCGCTAACTGATGACTTTTTTTTCATACGTTTTGCGTTTTTTCCCCTTCAACTTGTTGAGGTAAGAAAAAGAAAACACAAAAACACCAACTAAATACAACTTGTAACAAAAGATTTGCAGAAACAACAATGAATTAACCGTTATAATTGTAATCATAATAATACAGTTAATAACGTTTCATTGGTTATCTCAGGATAATAATTATATTGTTTTGTGCGATGATCGTTCATACGAACCAATGCTAGAAGGATATGTACTTATTGTTATCTTCATCTTCATCATCATCATTATCCTTCTCATCTTAATCTTAATCTCCATCATCGTTTTAATCTCAATCCAATTGATGAAAATTGTTCACAATTCAAAACGATTGTAAGATTAATGAACAAAAAAAATAGAATTAGAAAAATGGTTTCATCTAATTTTAACAATCACCATGCAACTTGTTCAGTCTTTTTGATTAACTGTTAATTTGCTTACTGATTGTTTGTGAGTTGATTTGATTTGTAGTATTTATGCTTTTTTCTTATTAACTACCGCTGTTTATTTGTCTACTAATCGTTAGTAATTGTTAATCATTGATTCACCATTGATTAGGAACATGTGAATAATGATAATGTGTGATTGATGGATAATCTTTTTGCTTAATTTACTGAATGGTTATAAATATAATCGTTGATAAACAATCAATGTTTTTTTGTACTCACAATCATTTACCTCAATTGTTTGAATCATTTAAAGTATTGTTTGTTACCATCAAACATTGTTAATCAACTCTAATTGTAATCAGTAAATTGTCAGATTGTCTTTAATCATTTGCTTGCTTATTTTATCAATCTTATAATTGAGTAATTTTTAAATCAATTTAACTCATTTCTGAGATTGATACCTTTTTTTGTGCATGTCAATCAATTACTTTCAAATTGTAATAGTTAATCAATTGATGATAATCATTAGTATTATTTATTATCTAGTTAATAAATTGTGGATTAGTTTAATTATGATTAACGGACAGCTAAGTAAACACTTTATAATATTTAAAGGTTGAGAAGTGGGTTATAAGTTAATTGATTAACTGTTGTTAATTGTTGTTACTTGATTGTTATTGGTGTTGATTTATTATTATTATTTTTTTCATCAATATGTAAATAACAATAACAACAATTTATTATTGTATTAACAAAACCACATGAGGTTAACTATTAAATCAATGAATTAAACTAATGACGATAATGAGAATGTTAATATTAAGATGATTAAAAATTCAATTAAACAATGTGAATACTTGATACAAACATTAATAACTCAAATATTATAATAATATCAAGTCTATCAACAATTAAGAAACAATGATTCTGTTATATTCTCAATTAATACTCTAATTGTTGTCTAGATTACATCTTAATCTTAATATAATATAATAGTAATATTTATGATGATGATGATTGTAAATTAAATTATGAATGGGACAAGAAAGTAACGGTAAATCTTTAAATTGTTGATTAAACAAGAAAATAAAAAGTTTCACCATTTAAATGGTAAAAGGTTTTACTGTTCAGGTAAATCTAATTTTGGAACATTTCTAACTTCGTCCTCCTTAAACAAATAGTCAACCAAGTGAAAAGATTAAACAAGAAATTAACTAATGTAGTTAAACCAGTTTTCTTGTTTATGTCCATCAGTTTAATATCATTATAACCTTTGAACTTGATTATTATTCATTATTATTAGTTTATCAAGGAGGAGGAAGAGAGGGAGAGAGGATGGAGAGGTATTCTCATGATGATGATGATGATGATGATGATGTTCATGGTGAAGAGATGATGATGCTAAGTCTGTATAAGAAAAAGAGACGAATGATGATCGACCTATTTTCCTTTTCTTCAGCTTCATCGTACATTAAGATGAAGGAAGAGAAAATAGTTAATTGCAAATTGAGACCAAACTTTTAGGTATATTAGATAATGAACAGACTTAATTGATTGTTATTCTTGAGTTTTAAGTCCATTTTGAAAGGTGAATTTGTACCGTTAGGAAAAATGATTATGATCAATGTTAATCTCATTTGATCCGGATCATCTCTCAGTCTAATTATTCTGGTCATCATTGACCTATTGATGATTTATTAACCGTTAAAAATAAATCACCTTGAGATATATTAATATAAGTTTCCGTTATCTTTAGATATATATAATATGATTGAACTTAAATTGAATTGATTATTAATCAGATAATTAATGATCCGTGTCATTTAATGAGTTACCTTGATATTGAATTTTTATGTAATATTTAGGTATCATTAAATTTTCATCGAAAGTAATTGTTTCAAAAATCATCCACATTAAGATTATCATTAGAAAGTGTTTATTTTTTTCACCAGCAAAGACAATTGGTAACAATCAATTATTGTTGTGATTGATCAATTGATAGGAGGATGATGATGATGATGAGGACTTATTGATTATGATGGTGATGATGATGATGATCTGATCAATCATGATTAATTTCATGATGAAAAACAAAAACAAAAATAAGATTGAAAGTTAATTGTGATTGTTGCAGGTTAATCAATAACAATAAAGGTTATTGAAAGTTAATTTTTTTCCCACCTAAATCATGATCATTTATAATTAATGGTGATGATTAAAGTTTGAGATAACAATCAGCGAACAAATTTAATCAATAATGTTCTGGTTAATTGTTACACTTAAACAATGATAATCAACGGAAGAAGAGAGAATCAGATGAAACCTAAAAGAAAGACAATCAAATTGATTGTGATATTTTCAGTCAATGGCCTTTCTAATTAACATCTAATTAGCTGAATAATTGATCATGATAATTTCCAGACTCATTAGGACTGTCTATAAATCGCGATTTAGGTCAACTTTTGCTTTGAAAACTATTATAATAGATCATCTATTTTATCCTAATCCATGTAATTACTATTAAAACCATTATCCGTTATTAAGTTGATTCACTTTCTCATCTTCCTTTTAATCATCATAACCACATCCACGCGGATATAATAATAATAAAAGTTAATAGTGATTCTAATTAATTAGATGTCACATAAACAGCAAAGCCCCCTGAAGGCAAATACTTGTTATTTATAATTAAACTGATTGTTATCAAATTGCTGCTATTTATAAGTGAAAAATGAATGATATTAGGCAATAATAATTAGTATTTACAACAATTAGTAATGATTGTGTCTGTCAATCTAATTTTAAATAATAATGGATAAACTCATCTCAAGATTCTGATGATAATAATGATCTCTCTCTCTCTCATTCTTGATATTTTGTTACACTTATTAGGTCAATATTTAGGTCTAATAGATTGTTATGTTTGCTACTCTATTTTAATAGCACAACAATTAAATTAAATTGATGATAAAGTTGAGAGAAAAACAATCGAGGTTGTTATCAACAAAACAAAAGGTACCAAGTACCGTTGGAAATAATAATAATAATAGTTTCAAGTGATTTCTCATCATCATCATCATCATGATTAACCATCACTTTAATAAGTTAAGTTAATAATTGTAACTTTAATTCCTAACGATTGATTTTCGGTTGAGGCCAAGATCAACTAACAATACAAATTAGTAATTACAATCCTAATTATCTTCACCATGAGAGCGATAAATTAGAAAAATGAATGAAACTTGATGATCAGAATGATGAGAGTTTATCATTTGCCAATTTGATCAACTTGCAATATCGTTGAGATAATAATCAAAATAATTGATAAAATTTCATCAAATTTGAAGGTCAATAATAAGTGTTAATTTATCATAATATCAACTAATGAGTTAAATTGGTTCGTATTTTTTTTCCAATAAAAAAGTTAAAGTATAATGATGATGATGAGGATGAGAAGTGAAATTTTTCATCATCATGATGATCATCATCTATCTCAATTAAATTGTAATACCATTATCATCATTATGATTATTATTATGATTGTTATGATGATTCTTATTATAGTTACTTCATCATTAGTATTGATAGAGTGGTAAAGTTGAGGCGGATTAGTGATTAGATTGGTTAAGTTTAAAGACTTTATCGTTATTGAAGCAACGATGAAAAGTAATTTGATTTGTTGATTAATTTATAGTGTGATTATCATGATCAATGATTAGATTCATTGTTGATTAACATGATAATTGAATTGAGTGAGGATCACATGACATACTTTTCATTTCCAGAATTAAAGTATAACATGATTACATTAATTACTTTTAATGTTTCAACAAAAGTTTCATTCTCCTCATAGAGAAAGTGATGAAACTTTCTCATATTCTGATGGATAATTTTTCCTCTGATTTAAGATTTTCGTGTCTCCCTCTTAATTGTCATCATAACAATTTACCGTTAACTTTTCTTTTATCTCTTTATCCTTTTATTTTTCCAACTAAATCAGATTTAAAACCAATTAATTGTAATTGCAGTTTTGATTTATAGACGATTAATATTGACGCGCCCATTTGATGTTGATGATAAACTAATTTGATGTTTAAAAAGTGAAATTTTCTGTTGATTGGTGTTGATTTTTTATCGTTTAGATCATTTTTGCTTCTCTGCTACTGTTGTTGAAAAATGTTCAACAATCAAATTTAAATTCGGATGATGCATTTATAATTAACACGCTAAAATTTATCATGTAACTTTCATTTAAACTGGTAACATGTTGCGAGAATTGTATTGATAATGTATCCATTTTACAGTAAATTTTACCTAAAATCATGTTGATCAGGACGATGAAGGCTCGATAGTTAATAAGAAGTGAAAAAATTAACGATAACTGACATTTTTCATTTTAAATTAGGAAACCTTTTTGTATCTAAATTTGAGGTTAAACTGATTAACGGACGATTGAACAAGTTGATGATGATCAATTCGTAACTCTTTCATCAGCCTCATAATCAGCTTCATCATTTTCGTCATCATCATCATCATCTTTTTCTGTTACTTATCTTCATCTTCATCAGTTGAACAGGTTAAAAAAAAAGGTATTCACTTTCAAGTCTATTAGGGTAAAGGCCTGACAAACATGAAGTTGATCACGTACAATTAAAGCGTTTACTTGTTCATAATCATGATTAGTTAGTTGTCCCCGTCATTATCATGATCATGATCAGTTATATTTATATATTATCAGTTATTATTTTGCACTTTCAGTTGAATAAAATTAATTGTTGCTGATGATTTACCTTTTTTTTTGTCTTCTCTTTTGTTTTTAACAGGTTATCATTCAACGGGCGGCTATTTAACGGTGGCAACTCCACCGGATGCAACACCAATCGCCACAGCGTTTCCTGAAGCGGGTAAACACTTGGGTTATCCCAATATTGACCTTAATGGTCCAATTCAAGCGGGTTTCGCTATTCCTCAGGGAACTATTCGTAGAGGTGCAAGATGTTCAACGTCTAAAGCCTTCTTGCGACCAGCGAGGAAACGGCCTAATCTTCATGTTCTGACCTTTGCTTATGCAACTCGAATACTTTTCAATGATTTTAAAAAAGCCATCGGTGTTCAATTTGATCGCTTCTCATTGACCCATGTTGTTTATGCTCGTAATGAGATAATCATCTCTGGTGGATCAATTAATTCACCTCAACTATTAATGTTGTCCGGAATTGGTCCAGCGGAGCATCTCGCCTCCATGGGTATACCTTTGGTCGCTGACCTTCCGGTTGGTGATAATCTTCAAGATCACATTTACCCCGGAGGCATTCATTTTACCATTGATGCCAAAACTTCACTCATTCAAAGACGAGTTGTAACTTTACCGAACATTTTAACTTACTTTGCTAGTGGACGAGGTTAGTGACCACAATTAAATATCTATTAACATGATTAACTAATCAGCAGTCAAAATCAAACAAATCAAAACAATTTATTAGGGCAAAGTCACAAAATAACCAACCCTTTCATAAGGGTTATTTGAAATTGAAGAGAGTTTTTTTTCACCTTTTGCTAGTTAATTGTTGATTGTTGTTTTGATTTCATTTGATTGAGATTATTGTTTATTATTTGTTGTATTAATATTTGTCTTGCATTTGTTTTCTTGTGTCCACTTATCAACAGGTCCATTGACCGCATTAGGAGGTGTTGAGGGTTTAGGATTCATAAAATCCCGTTACACCAATTTCACTGACGATTATCCTGATTTTGAGATTCACATGTTATCTGGTGGACCGACGTCCGATGATGGACAAACCTTTCGTCGAGTACAAGGATTCACTCGGGAGATGTGGGAACAAGTTTACCGACCTTACCTACCTTATGACACATTCTCCATGTATCCCGTCTTGTTGAGGCCAAAAAGTAGAGGTTACGTGCGTTTACGTTCAGCTAACCCTTATGATCCACCAATAATTGACCCGCGTTACCTGACGCATCCAGATGATATTCTGGCCATGGTTGATGCGATGAAAATTTCAATAGCCGTTGGTTTGGCTCCGGCTTATAGAGAAATGGACTCAAGGCTGTTTGAGACCGTTTTTCCAGGATGTGAGATTTACACTCTTTGGAGTGATGAATATTTGGCCTGTGTGGCTCGTACATATACAGCGACAATCTATCACCCGGTGGGCACTTGTCGTATGGGTGCACCTTGGGATAAAAGATCTGTAGTAGATCCTTATTTAAGGGTTCTCGGCGGTGTTAAAGGCCTTCGAGTCGCCGATGGGTCAGTTATGCCCAACATTATTTCGGGTAACACAAATGCACCCATTATAATGATCGCCGAAAGGTTGGCTGACTTCATTAAAGGTCAACAATTACCACCAATTAACCCACATATACCGGGCTCAATTAAAAGAGCCTCAGTAGGTTCAACTAATTACGAGTATGTAGAAAATATAATTAATAATCTAGTTAATTTGAATAAAGTCAAGAAATAGTACGAATCATATTAGGTTAAAAAAGGTCACTTTTTTGTTGTGTAATTTGTGTAACCATTGTCACCATTCATGTTAATCATCATAATCACCAATTATCATCAACAACAAAACTTAAAACCACCACAATCAACATCAGCCATCGCCATCTCATCTTCATCCTCATCGACGCATTTTTTAATAATAATAATTCATCATCATCGTCGTCATTACCTTAATCATTGTTTTTCAAAAGCACAATCAACAGCCAACAATCACCACAAAGAGCAACAATCAACCATTTACAAGAAAGAAAAAAATTGTTTATTGTTGTCATCTTATCTTATTTTTTTCTCTCTCTCTCTCTTCTTCTCCACCATCATCATCATCATCCTCATCCTCATCATCACCACCACAATCACCACCAATTAATGAGACAAACAACAATAATAGAGATGTCATTTCATTCTTGCCACAATCAAATCAAATTGTCACTCAAACTTTTTTTCCTCTCACCTTTCACTTCAACCTTTAACATTTAGACCCAAGGCTTTGATAAACTGGAAAAGTGTTCATGTTGTTAATTGTTAACAGTTTTTTTTACTATTCTCTTCAATCAATCAATGTTATATTTTTCTCAAATTCTAAGTAACTGTTAACTGGACAATTAATTGTCTTCTATTATACCAGCTCATTGATTAACTTTAATGTTTTCACTTTTCCCTCTCGACAATTGATGTGATATTTTATTATTTTTTTTCTAATTGGGAACAATAACCATTCATTCACTTTTTTTTAATAACTTTGTACATTTAACTATTTTTTTCAAATAATTAATGCGAACATGAAATACAAATATCAAAATTTGAATCACATTTAAATTGTTTTCCTAAATTATTAATTCATTTCAATTTCAACGCAAAAACAAATCGAGAACAAAGTTTAAGCTTCAATTTAAACGATTAACTTTTAATCTTCACCTTGATCATATTTTCTATTTTCAATCCTCTGATTACAATTAAAGAAGAAGATCTTTATTCGTTGGAATTTATTCGTTCAAATTAATTTTCTTTTAATTCCATGACAATTAAAGTTGATTAGATTGTCGATCACAAGTTTTACCGTTGAAACAAAAAATCGTGTGAAGATTGAACTTAGAATACGGTCCCTTTTTCTTTTACGTGTACAAGTCATGTTGATGAAGAATTAGAATTTTATTTTGTCGGTAAATTGTTTTCTTTGATTCTCTTGACTGTTTTAATTGTTGCAATTAATTTTTGATTATGGCTTTTGGTAAATTAATTTTAATCTTTGCTCTTACAGCGGTTTGTCAGGGTAAGTCTTGGGTTTGGATTTGGGAGACTTTGTGATTTTTTATGTGTCTTTTTACTTGTTAAATTTTCATTAGATTGATTTGATTTTGAGATTTTGGTTTTAATTTTTGTTTTCTATTGTTTTATTTTTTATTAGGTTGTCAGATTGGTGATATTAGTTCATCCAGTTATTCAACCACTGATGGACTTGTCATCTCAGAAACTGCCTATGTTGTTAATTTCAACGTTGCCTGTAAAGACTCAGCTAAATCTGGTAAGTTGTTTAGTTTTGCATGTTGATATGGGGAAAAAAGAAATTTTTTCACCGGTTTTATTTAATTCAATCATTTCTTAACTATTTATTTGTTTCTCTTGTTTTTGTTTTGTTAAACAGACTCTTTGGTACTTTTTGCTGACCTTGGAGAGGGTAAAATTTTACCTGTAGCCAAATCAGATGATGGAAGCCGATTCCAAATTTCATGGACTTCTGAGTTGAGTAAATCATATTCAAATAGTTATGAGATTAAAGTTCATGACGAAGAAGGTTTGAGCAACTTGAAAAGAGCCCAAAGGAAGGAAAGTAAAGAGGAAGTTACTCCATTATTCAAGATTAACTTCTCTCACCCTGGTACTTACCGAGGTCCTTGGTTCCAGACTGAAATGATCGCTTCCGTTATTTCAATTCTTGTTTGGTGGGTCGCATATACACATAAATCTAAATTGGATTAAAATCCTTACATAATATAAATACAATTAACAAATTTATATCTACTAATTTCATAGGTATCCAAATTATTTGAATTTAATAAATAATTACTTGATGACTTGTTCTCAATTAACTATTTTCCTACCAAATTTCTATCAAATAACTCGAATCAATCAAATCTTAATTCATTTAATTTCCAATTTCAGTGTCGATCAATATTCTTAATGAACTAAGAATCATTATGTTGACAAATTACTAACTTCCTTTTTCCCTAATCATTAGTATTTTGTTACAAATGAATCGAAATCGATAGTTATTGATATTAATCCTCAGATACATTTTCTAACTTTTGATTTCGAGTAGACAATTAAAAAGAAATCAAGTTGATACCATGAGTTCGATGCGAATCGGTGTTTGCAATCTTCCACCCATTCATTTTCTCACAAGTTCTAATCAAGTGAGTGGTATTTTCGGACCGATCCTTCAAGTGGGAATTAAGGCCATGTTGACCTCTATCAATGTAACGCTTATCCCCACCGAGAACTGTATTCTCGAGTCATGTTACCCTAACGGAACTTGTAACGGACCCTTTTTCGATTTACAAATGGGAAAAGTTGATTATATTTTCCCATCGGACCTCGACTTAATTAGTGACCTGGGGACTAATTTGACGACAACTTCACTTTACACAGAAAACGCTTGTTACTTGGCTCATAAGCGACAATTAAAGTTGAATCTCGATTATTCAAATTTCTTTGATTTCATCTATTCCTTTGATTTATATTTCTGGTCCATGTTTATTTCTTCATTTGGTTCACTATTAATTGTCTTGAGTCTCTTAATTAAACTTCATCAAAGGTCAATTTCAATGATCAACATTCTCTGGACTCAACTAATGTACATATTGTGTCAACATCGAGATAAACTTTTCGCTTTAATTACCAAACGAAATCTAATTGTTTTCATTTGGTCTCTTCTACTAATTAGTAAATTGTTTTCAAGTTCACTCCAAACTGGCCTAGTATCTAAACCCGAGTATATCGAACTGAAAACTTTAGATGATATTTTAAGATATGATTATAAACCGATCTCTTTTGCGAGAATCGAATGTCGTCAAAGATTAGAAATGGCCTTGGACTCGATCAATCGACGACATTCATCTTCAATTAAAATAACCATGATGCCCGATTTATTGATCGATGATTTGTATGAATTCATTAAGCTGAACAAACATGTAATCGTTACATCAGACGATTGGGTTCGAGTTATAAAAAGTGTCGGTTGTTTAATGTTCCGAGAATATGAACTAAATGAACCATTCGAAAAATCGAAATCACCAGTGTTCAATTCATTCAAAGGTGTTTTACTCAACAAGTACACGGAACCGATAGTTAATCGAATAATAATTCGGAAAAGTTATTCAGCCTTCGAAAATGGACTTGGACATAATGGACTTACGACGAAAACTTATGTAAATTGTTTAGGTGTTGACGATGCGTCGATTTCGTGTCTCGATGCAGAAGTAAAAACCAAAGTCTTAGCGATTCCGATAACTTTCAATTATTTATCGATTCCTTTTTTAATTATGATTTCTGTTTATTTGATTGCTTTTATAGTGATGATGAAAAAATGCAAATACTTGGCAAATTATTTGAACAAAAATAAATGATTTGTAACATTTTATTGTAAAAATTATCGATTGTATTTAAAAATGAACAATTAATAAACTATTCAGACAATTATCATTATTTCAAATGAATTAATATGATAACGGGCCAAGATTATTCGAGTACGTGATTTGAACGTCCAATCATCGATGTTACCAATTAATAATTTAGAGAATTGAAATCATCAACAAAAAAGAGATTGAACAACAAAAGTAGATACGAAAATCAGCCACTTAAACGATGTTAAGAGAAAGGGAATCGATAGAAAAGTGCAAGAGCAAAAAGTGTCTACAACACCGGGGGTTCCCAAGTGGTCTCCCTCCCAAGTACTAACCCGGCCCGAAGCTGCTTAACTTCGGAGATCGGACGGGATCCGGTGCTTTCAGCTTGGTATGGTCGTAGACGAAAGAGATGCTAATAAATTGATTTATAAAACAATTTACATTATGACACCTTTCGTCCTCGGTTCACATTCCGACAAATTGAATTGATTAATTAGTTATAAGGTTCATTGTTAAAAAGTAAAACAATCAATAGAATGATGAAAAATCTTTAAATCTGAATTAAAATGAATTTAAATTACATTTAGGGAAATTGTAATAACCAGCACCACAAAGATTACACTTTGGTCCACTGAATCGAGGTGCACATGTACACCGACCAGTCGAGTCACAGGTTTGATTGACCGACCCAACAGGATCACAGGCACAAAGTGTACAATTGGGAAAACCATAGTAACCTGGTACACATTTGTCACATCGATCGCCTCCGAATCCAGGTTTACATTAACATTGACCATTTTCGGTGTTACAAATGTCATCAGTGGTTCCAATAGGATTACAATCACTTCCGGTGACATTTTTAGGACAAACACATTCACCAGTAACTGGTTCACAATAGGCAGCGTTTTGGTACAGTTACAAGGTTTACAATCAGGAAACCATAATAATCTGACCGACAAGCTTTACATGTCCGTCCAATGACATTGGGTTTGCAGTCACACTGACCTCCAAGTGGATTACAAGTGAATCCCTTTGAACCTTGGGCATTGCAGCTACAAAAAGCACCACCGTTGTTGAGACCAGTCGTCAAGGTGAAAAGAGCTTGTTTACAGAATTCAGATGAAGAATCGTCGATATGAAATGCATCTTGAACACAATGTTTCAAAATTCAGTTGACTTGTCGACAATAGGAAGTTCCAAATGGTTTGAAAAATTGGCGAATGAAACTGTACCAGTGGCAGTAACATTTTCTCTAAGTATACTGGCCTCGAAGTAAGCCTGAGGTAAGAAAACAATGTAATCGACTAAAAGTGGCTCGTCGGCGGATAAAGATGCTTTCCATGGCCTTTGAGCCGCGAAAAGATAGAGAGGTGAAGTTTTATCCATCGATAACAAGTATTTTTTAGGTGCACTGGTCGGGGGAAAAGTGATATTGATATGTTGCGGTGGCTCGTTTTCATTGAAAAGTGTTAGATTACCAACAATTGGTTCTGTTCCTGGATTATGATAGTTGAGAATAATTTGATAGAATGATGATCGAACAATGAGAAAATCGATTATCACCTTTTTCTGGAGGTCAGAGAATTTGGCATAACCTTTCCAAGAGAAACCTGGAAAAACGGTCTCATTATAATCATAATGAACGTTATGACCATCTTCGAGTTCATAAAGATACTGGTAAGTTGTATGATAATAGTGAGCTTTTTGTGGACGGTCACATCGTCGACCTTCAATTCTGAATCTACATCGACATGAACCAGTTCGTGCATCACAAGAGCGCCGCAAGGAGCCACCAAGATCACAATTACAAGCTTCACATTTAGGGAAATTGTGATAACCCGCACCGCAATGATTACACTTTGGTCCACCGAATCGAGGTGCACATGTACACCGACCGATCGAGTCACAGGTCTCATTGACCGATCCAATAGGATCACAGGCACAAAGTGTACAATTGGGAAAACCATAGTAACCTGGTTCACAATTTTTGATTTCCCGACCTTCGGTAACATTGGAATAAGTTGGACTAATAACCTCTGATTTTGTTAATTGAAAGGTGAGTAGAAGAGTCACCGAAATCACAATTAACCAATTTATTGGTATCATATTTATCGATACACTGGTCATCTTAATCCGATTTAAGATGAGATCTTCTTGCTGTCCACAATTTTGGATTAGATCAAAAGTGAGAATCAACAAATTTTCAAGTCATTTATCAGACATTGATTATGAACGTAAAAAACAATCAAAAGAAATAAACTCTTGTAATACTTTTGTAATTGTTAGTAAGCTTCAGTTAAACAAAACTAATTAAGCAATTAGATTTTTGCTTAAAACATTTCTTTTCGAGTATTTTCCCTTTAATGATAAACTACACTCAAGTACCTACTTAATGTATCTTTTTTCACTATCTATTGGCTTAGAAGCCAGTGAAGGTTAAGAATCAAAACCAATTATTCGTGCTCACCTTTTTCTACATTCAACATGGGAGATCGGTTGATATCGATAATTGTGCTCTATTATATATCAATACATGTATATCTTCGAGCGTATTTAGTTTTACACAATCCTGATACGAAACGAGACTAGTTTCTATTGAACTCGAAAACAATTTACTAATTAATAAAAGAGACTAAATGAAATTTTGTTTGGCAATTGTAGCGAAAAGTTTATTTTGACACAAAATTTACTTTCACTGAGTCCAGAAAATTTTGATCATTAGGATGATTTTTCATCTGGGGTAAGATTACGAATTTCATATTTCCAATAATACTCAGAGTTATAATATTGGTACTTTATGATAGAGGAGTTTCCTCGATCCTCTTTATAAAAAATTCATAATTTGCTAATAACTTGAAAAAGAAGATCATGATTATGTAAAATCCAAAAATTTCGGACCAAAATAATATGAAACAATCGATCATAATCAAAGAGTTGAAAGTTTCAAATCAATAGAAAAGTGCAAGAGCAAAAAGTGTCTACAACACCGGGGGTTCCCAAGTGGTCTCCCTCCCAAGTACTAACCCGGCCCGAAGCTGCTTAACTTCGGAGATCGGACGGGATCCGGTGCTTTCAGCTTGGTATGGTCGTAGACGAAAGAGATGCCAATAAATGTCTTTATAAAACTAAAAACGATTCACCATTGTGACACTTTTCGATCCTTCGTCCATTTTACTTTCAGAACTTCTTCCTTCCCATGTATTTGCTTCACGAAATAATAAAAGGTTATCTTTAAATAATAGAATTGCCAAAATATTTATAAACTGCTAATTTCAAGATAACAGTAAGTTTTTTGCAAATATCTTAGAATTGATCATCACCATCATCCTCAATACCTCTTCATGACTATAACTGAATCAGATAATAGATTGAAATCACACTGATCGATCCTTATTCATGATTTATTACTGATCTTCTCAAATTGTTCATTGGTATAAGTTTTCAGTGTCAATGCATGAATTGTTCCCATTGTATCTCCAAGCGCACTATGGACCATTCGATGACGTTCAAGTAATGGTTTTCCTTCAAATTGTGATGAGACGATGACACAATTAAATTTAGATCCACATCCATCAGAAAAATCTTCAACAGTCTAAAATAAAAAACGAAAAAATTAGAAATAAAAAACAAAAATGAAAACTCAATTATCCATCTCAATCTGAAAACATCATCAACACTTACCAAATGTGAAGGCTTCAACTCCGCGTCAATTAGATTATAAACTACTTCTTGAGAAGGCATAGTTTTAATTATCAATCAGCAAATACGACAAAATTTAGTCAAAACAATGAAGAAAATAATTGAAATTCAATCATTAAATCAAGAAATGAGAAAGAAATTGAAAAACAACCGGAGGCGTTTCTTTGTTTTCATCTTTCAACCGCCAAATTTGAAAAGAAATTCGTCAACCCGATCAAACGATTCATCCAAATGATGAACAAAAAATCAAAGAAAAATTTCAAAACAATTTTAAAATATTCTTCATACTATTTCAATTAAATTAACAAAATAATCCGAAACAATTAACACAATTTAATCAATTGTTTCGTAGATTTAATAACAATTAAAAGCAACGCCATCTATCAATAATGAAAGAATACAAATGAAAATTATCAAAATGATTAAAATGATTAAATTGTACTTTTCAATGTATCTAATCAATTAGTGTCCAATTTAATGTATCAACTATCAATTGCCTAACCATCAAGTGATCATCAATCAGTGTAATTAATTTTGAGTAAGTAAATCATTTAATTCATGATTGCTGATGATCAAATTACAATTGATGTAATATGATGATTAACAATTAAAATGTATTTCATTGATTCCAATAATACCTGAGAGTGTATTAAGAAATGAAATGAGACAATTTAATACAATCAACTTGGAATCGATTCAACAATTAGTTACATTGTAAATGAATCAAACAATTAGCTTACAAATTAAAGATGTAAATGTGAGGCCTTAACCCTGAGAGTAAATTGGAAATGATGATAAAATTGATTAGTCAATTAACTGGCGGTAAATTTATATTCTTTTTCTGTTTTTGATAACAACAATTAACTTTAATTGTAAATTGTTGGAGAAATTTATTCTATTGAAATTCAATTGACCAATTAAACGATAATTGTAACAGGAAATTGGTCGAAAATCATTTAATAAGGTTACAAATCGAATAGAGAACTTATTGAAAAGTTGAAAGTTCGATAAACCTTATTTTCGATTTTTGAATATTATTATTATCGGGATTATCTTCCGGTTAAGAAGACAATTGATGAATCACTTAATAGTTATTGACCTTATTAGAGAGATTAACTGAAATGATTAATGGAAACAAAGAGAAAACAAAAAGTTCATCAATGACCTCGATTGACACAGAAAAAGAATAGTAAAATTAAAGATAATTAGATTGTAATGGTGACCGTTAATTACGAGATAAACAATCAAAAGAGGTAAAAAGTATTGAAACAATTAGGAAAAAACTAATTAATTAGTAGTAATTGTTATGAAAACGGCGTAAAAATTAAGTGAGAAATGTGAAAATCCATTTTTTAATTGTTTGTATTTTCACAGACTTTTGTTTGATTTGATTAGTTATTGTTTCCAATTTAATTGATTACAACAATTAACACGTTGATGGTGGATTAATTGTTAATTCTAATAACTAGTTACCGGTTTAAACATTAATCTTTCTGCTTTCACTTTTGATTAATTGTTCAATTTTCTGTACTAATCACCACAATTCCTGTTTAAGATAATCATAATAAAGAAATTAATTAGCAGTAATTTCAATAGAAAATGTTAATTGTTAACAATTCTTTTGAGCAATTAGTAAATTCAATTCAAATAGAGTTCGATATTGATTGAAAAAGAATAGGAAAAACTCCTTATGGAAAATTGAATAAGAAAAAAAGAATAAAAGAAAACAAGAGAATCAGGTTTTCTCATGATTAACTAATTCCATCATGAACTTGATCAAATTGAACCTTTTCTTTAAAGTTAATTTACTTTCACATGATTAACATGAATCATCCCTTCCGATAATCAATGAATTAACTTGACAAGATGAAACAAGAAGAAAACAATTTACCTGAGATACGAAAAGTCATCAACCATCACTGACCATCATCATCAAAATGAACTTTAATCAATCAATGATCAAATTGATTCTCACCTTAACTTCACCTTACAATCTAATTTTTGCTGATTAACTCATCAAATTGACTCATCATCATTAACATTGTTAATTTCGCAGTTGAATCAGAATAGTAAATTCAATTGTCCATCAATATGATTGTATCTCTTTCTCAATAATAACCTTGATTGTAACTTGATGATCAACATGAAAGCAGATGAAGTTTTTTTCACCATCACCATCATGATCATTGAATGAAAAATTCTGAACCTCTCAGATTTTACCTTCAGTTGTTCAATGGATCGTAATTATCATTTATTGTTTAACGATCATGATGATGATTTATTTTAACATGAAAGTATTGTAATAATGGTGATTATGTCAAGGTAGATCTCCAATTGATACCATGAGGTAACAGACAAACTGATTGAGAGTAATTAACCAAAAGTAATTACCTGAGAATCTCAAAATCAATTAAACTAAAAGTCTTGAAATTGAATTGTTTCAAAATTATTACAAACATAAGTTGTAAACATTAATGATTGTCAGTTGATTGCTCGAATCATGGTAATCATAACGATCAACATGATCATAATTTTAGTACATAATGATAATAGAAATCAGGAACATTAATTAGAAATGAACTAAACTAATTAGAGATAATAAAAAAGCAACACCCTTAATGATAGATTGTAAAAATCAATGAGAATTGAATATGATGACAATCAAATGTGAGCATAGATTTAAGACTCAGTTGATATGCAAAGCAATTAGTTAAATTGAATTGTTTAAAAATCGCAATTTATGAGATGTAAGTGTTTCTTTTTTCCCCTTTGTCAGAGAAGAAGAAAATTTAAATGATGATGAAGATAATGATGGAAGACAAAAGCGGAAACCAATGTACATGTTGATGGTTGATCATGATGATGAGAACAACATTTAATCACCAATTCCATTAACTAAATTAACCAAACGGCTACTTTTATATGTATAGAAAAAGAAAATGGTAACATCGGTAGTAAGAAACACTTATTACCATTAGTAAGAAACACAAAGAATGATGAAGAGATAATGATGTTGATGAGGTTGTTGTTGGATCATTAATATGATGGTGATGATGATGATTGAGAAAAAGATGAAGATGAAATTATTCAGTGAAAATAAGAAGGAGGAGATGAGGGGAGAGAGAGAAACGATCATCATTTCCATGGTTCCACTTTGGGTAACGACCTTGTTGCCATCAATCCTTTTCCACTGGTGGAAAGGCACCGTTGCCATATCATCAAAATTCTTGCAAAATTATTTACCCTCAAGGAGAAATAATTCTGAGTATCTTTTTCTCTTACCTTGTTAATAGAATTTTCATCATTTTTATGTTCACCGAGAAGAAGTAAAAGAGAAAATCAGTAAAAAAAAGAAACAAGATAGAAAGTAGAAAGAGAAAAACGACAGAAGAGAAAAAGAGAGAAAGAGAAAAGAAATCAACACATAAGAAGCTTTTTCTTTTCTTCTTCTCTCTCCATCAAAACATCAAATTCTATTCTCTTTTTGATCAGTTTGTTTCTTTTTTGTTTCTTCTTCTTTTGTTTTGATTTTTGTTTCTTTTCTTTTTTTCTCTTCTTCTCTAAATCCAAATTCATTCGTCGTGATTAATTAATCTCAATTATCCATCATCTGTTTATCTTCTTCTACAAAGAGAGAACATTTTGTGTCTGTGTTTTTCTTTTGGTTCCTTTGGTCAACTAAATCATTTGCTTTTTGGTGATTCTTTTGCTTATCATCTGACCAGTCATTCTAAAAGGTAAGAGAAAAAGAGAGAGAATTAGAAAAATTAAAGTTAACCTGTTCTCTCTTTTACCTGATTTATATTCACCTTTTGGGTTTCACTGGTTTTATCCTTTTCTTTTCGTAATTTTTGATTGTCTTTTTTTTCTTTTTGGGTTTTAATTAATTTTCCTAATTACAGTCTAGTCTTTAATGTCTTGTGTCTTCCTCTCTCCATCATCTGATCATCGATTTAATTGTTTCCCTCTTGTAACAACCATTTTTCTTTTATTTAACAACATCCACATTTTACCTTCTCTTTTCTGTTGTTCTTCTCTCACTCTACTCTTTCAATCATTTTTTATTCTATTCTAATTTATATTCTCTTCTTCTTCTTCTTCTTTCAATCCAATCAATTTCCATCTTTACCTTTTTATCCTCTTAATACTTTAATCCAGTGTCTTTTCCTTCTTCAAATTAATTCTAATCCTTTTTTATTCTTCTTTTGTGTATATTTCTTTCTCTCTCCATTTCTTCAGGTATCCACAATGATTTTCTCTACAGCAAAGCTCAAATTGGTTTAGAATTTTCTTCTCCTTGGAAATGATGACAACAATTTACCAATTTCTCCATTGGATGTAAGACCATCAACTATATTTATAAATACTGTTTATTTTGATGTTCTCCGATTTTACCTGTTGTTAATTATTATCACCAATCATATAATTTATATAACATTCCCCTATTTTCTCAAGACAATGATGTTAACAATTAACCTACGTTAATCTACTACCTGATCAATGCAATCAATTATTACTCCAAGTGAAACATTTTTCTATCATCAACTGCTTATTAGACATGGTTAAACTACACCTGGTTCTCTATCAAATTGATTGACTTTATTGCTTTCATCACTACTATTATAATAAAACAAAAACGACATAAAATCAATCATCATCAACATCTCTCTCCAAAAAATAGTGAAGAGAATCGCCAACAAAGTGATCATCAACGACATCATCATCATCATCATCACACTTTCATTCTAAGATCCGTTGTTAAATTCAACTGATAATTGGAAATAATCACAAATAATCAAGGTGTTTGTATCATTATACAAGTTGATTATTATTATTATTATTTAATACCTTATAAGTTTCATCTGTGATCATAATCGTCCGAAAGTTTTACTTGCCTTTAAGTTATAATCTTCTATCAACAATTTTTATCTTCCTTTGAAATAATACAACAGTTTTTGTTATTATTTTCTCTTCCATTACCACCATCATCGTCCTCAGCATCATCTTTATGATTTTTGCTTATTTATCTACCATAAATTTTTATCACCAAAGTTAAGATTATTTCAACTTTCGCCACAAAGCAACATTGACCGACTTGAAACTACAATAGAAAAGCCTATTTAAACTAAAACGAATATATATTTATGTGTATATATTTCACTGAAAAAAATCACTCAAAAGCCAAATTGTACTTCAATCTAAATCAGGATGAGATTATTATCATCTTTTGGTCGATTAGATTCACGTAATCTTCTCAAACTCCTCATAACAATTAACATTGTTCTCGCCTTCTATCAACTTATATCATTCCATTTTTACTCTCCACCAGAAGCATGTATATTGAACATTCGACCTTCACCTTTAATTCAAGATGATTCTTCTTCCAAGGTAAATTAATATACGAAAAGAAAATTAATTATGCGTGTTAAATGATAACATCCTCATAACTCATTTCATCAATTAATCATTTGTTCTTTAATTTTTCCTTTTTACAGCAAATTCTTTCATCACTACCAGACGATTCTAAACTGTTGAGATTTTCATCCAATACTCAGATCACTAATGGAGGTGGTGATAAGAGTGAATCTGCCGCAGTGGCCGCTGTTGGTGCTGCTATGATTGCCTCAGAGTCTCTCGATTCACCAACAGTCCAATTAACTTATAAACCTAAATCTCCCTGGTGGATACCGGAACAAAGGGAAAGATACATTGTGATAAGAAATTATATCCTGCCAGAGGCTAAGAATCCGAACACTTATCTACAAAGTGCCAATGAAACTCTGGATGAAAACAGTGTTACACTAACAACCCAAGGAACATTTGAATTTTTAAATCACGTTGAGTCTCTTTGTAAACGTTGGGATGGTCCAATTTCCGTTGGTGTTTACGCACCAGGTGAAGATATACTCTATTCATTGGAATTGATCTATTTCATGAGAAGTTGTCGTCATGAGTGTGTTCTTCATAATGTTACCTGGCATTTGATTTACGATGTCGGTCATGGACCTGATAAAGACAATGTTACCTTTCCAGAGGATTATGTTAACAAAATGTCTTCCACAGGAACAGCAGAATTCAACTGTCAACTAACATATGACGACTTCTTTAACAAACACAAAGATCTTTATCGAGTCAACAATAAGCTTCCATACCCGATTAATGTTGCTCGAAATGTTGCTCGACTCAATATTAAAACAAAGTACCTTTTGGCCTCAGATATTGAACTTTACCCAAGCCTTAATGTAGTTTCAATGTTCAGAGATCTTTTGGAACGAGAGAAAAATAATTTAGTGCCATTAGTGAACCGAAATGTGCCTCATGTTTATGTTTTACCCATTTTCGAGGTAAAGGCTGGTCTTGACCCGCCGTTGACCAAAAAAGACTTGATCAAAATGGTCAAAAAAGGTAAGATGACAAACCTTAAATTATTCAATTTCTCATGAATTAACTTTTCATTCATCTTTTCCAGGCGATGCAATTTTCTTCCATAAATGGGTTTGTGATATTTGTCAGAATTTTCCTGATCGAGATAAATGGATAGAATCAGTTCCATCTAATGATTCATTTGATATTTTCCGATCTGCTAAAAGAACTCATGCTCGAAGTACATGGGAACCGCTTTATATTGGAACCAATGCTGAACCTTTGTACGAAGAGAAATTATCTTGGGAAGGAAAACGAGATAAAATGTCTCAGGTAATTATCACCGCATCATAGAAAAAAATTCAATCGAATGCATAAACTAATTCACTAATTCTTTACTTCAATTTAGATGTTTGAAATGTGTTTACTTAATTATGATCTATTGATCTTGAATAACGCTTATTTGGTCCATGCTCCAGGAATCAAACATATTGATCACGCAGATGATAAAAAACGACTTCCGTTCATTAAGCGGAATAATCAAGTCTATACAACAGTGATCTCCAAATTAAGACGAAAGTACATTAAAACTGGCAATAAAGAATGTTAAAGATGATTAAGCTAAAGTTGTATTTAAAATGAAGCGAAATTTGTGAAAAATTAATGAATTAAAAGAGTCTTTTATTTGAATCAAAATGTTTTTATTTAATGATTTCTAACAAAAAAGGGTTGACATTAAATGACAATTTTTGTTTTTTTTTTGGAAAAAATGAAATTGAGAAAAGATATTGAAGTGAGATTTTCAATAAATAGAAAAGGAAAAGGAAAAGAGGAAACAAAAAACAATCGAAAGTAAAATAATTAGTCAATTTATGGTGATTAAAGAGACTAATTGATTGATTGTAGGGAAAGGGTTGAGAAGAGAGAAGAGAGAAGAGAAAAGAGAGAAGAAAAGAGTAATGATAGAAAAAGGATACTATTGATCGATCATCTTCTGTGTTCTTTCAATGAGTATGATTAATTATAGAAATTTTAAAATTTGACTAATCACCTGATGCATCGGCATCACTAATGCCGCACGCCGGCAACTTTACCACCATTACACCCACTTCCAAGATCTTCTCAACCACACGACGTTTCTAGACGAATGATTTTGTGGATCTTCAAAGAGAATCCAGAACAGTCAAAAAGTAACATGACTAAACCAACGCTCTTATCAGCCTCGATCTTTGTCTCAAATTCTCTACAAATGATCGATTGATTTCGATTCCGCCATGTACCATGCGAGCTTTCCTCCATGTTGGCAGACCAACCATTGACTTGTGACAATACAACATGGAGAGGTAAATTAGAGATTGCCCGAGCCGAGCACATCTTCATCACCTTGCATAGAGTCCTTACCTCACTTCTTCCCTCTTCTCCTTGTCTCGGAACTGCTCATCCCTCATACCTTCAATTGTTGGACACACTCACTGGTTCCACCAATAAACACTGGCTTCGAACTCGCTCAACAAGCAGAGGCTACTTGTTCCTTTGATTCACCGGTAATGTTTGATTTTGATTGTCCTTCATTCGAAACATAATCAAGAGAACACATCTCATCACCAGAAGCTGAGATAAAATCAAAGATCGGCGATTTCAGTTCTCGTGACGTTTGTTTTACTCTTTTCATAAAACTTTTGTAAGCTTTATCCGTCTCTCGAACAATTCGATACACCGTTTCACCAAACTCTTACGGATAACTTTCAAGATCTTATTTGTAACATTTCTCGGGAAATGTTCAATGGTAAATCTTCAGAATCAACCACACCCTTGAAAGTTGAGATATTCGAATGAGATCCTCAATTGTCCATGATGAAAACCCGACGGACATACAATTTGATATTGTCTTTTGTTTCTATTTTCAAAAGATCGAGCTCGTTTTGGTACAAATAGTAAAGCTCGAATTGAGTTGACCTTCAACAGAGAACTGCCAAATGTTCCTCCCAATCATTGGTTAGACTTTATAAAATTCACCATTCAGATTGGGTCATCAGATTCATCCAGTGGCCACCGGGCCTCGGTCATCTTTCTTTCTGTCCTTTATCCTCATTCAACACTACCTCGTCTTCTTTCATTTTCTCGCCCATCGACTTCAACAGCAACCGGTAATAATGATTTCATCACCTCTTTCTCATCGAGATAGTCATTTTGGTCATCTTTTCCAAACACGGCTCGAACAGCATCAGGTGAATGAACCACCAGCAGATGACCATAAATCATCGCTTGATGTAACAACCCGATCAGCGACCAGCCGACACCAATTGACCAAATATCGGCACCGGCTGAAGAGCCCATGCTTTATACCAGATTTGGCATGGTACCAAATTGATTAAATCAGCTTTGGTCATACCACCAGTATCATTGGTTGTTCTCTTGTTTGGAACAATAATGTAAAGATTTACCAGAACAGAAGCATCGATAATCATAACGGTTTGTCACATCAGAATTGATCAACCCCAGCTGGAGAAAAAGTGTTGATGATGCGTGATCAACAATGAGCGATCAGCTGAAACGTTTCAGCATCCATTAGTAGCGGTCACCAGGCATTTTAAATTCTTCAACCAACAAAAAATCGGTTTTTTAACACAAAACAGAAAACACTTCACAGACAGATAAACTGATCAATAATTAATCAATAGTAAATGGTCAACAAATTGTCAGTTTAGGACGAAGAAATTAATTAGTCAATTAACATTAGAATTAATTTAATCGCAGTTTGAGACAATAGACTGAAAGAGCATGGTGAAGAGTGAATGAATTTTTCAACAGGAACAGAACAACTTTTTTCTCGAATTTTCTGTAATATTCTAGGAGTTTTTTTCCCTTTTCTTTCCCCTTTTCCTGTTATTGTTCCTCTTGCGCCACCTGGGTAACTACTTATGTAGAAAAGAAAAGAGAATTTGAGAAAATTCGAGAAAAAAGTTGTTCTGTTTCCTGTTGGAAAAGTTAAGAGCAAGAGTATTACCGATTTAAACTCTCATTCACTTACATGCTTTCTTTCAGTCTATTGTCTCAAACTTGCGATTAAATTAATTCTAATTCTCTGTTAATTGACTAATTTTCTTTGTGATCTTTTCTCGTCCTTAAACTGACAATTTGTTGTTGACCATTTACTATTGATTAGTATTATTGATCAGTTTATTTTCCTTTGTCTGTAAGAGTGTTTTTCTTTTTTTGTGTTTTTGCTTTATTTTCTTGTGAATTTAAAAAAGCCGATTTTTTTTTGTGTTCAATTTGTTGAAAAGAATTTAAAATGCCTGAAGAACCAATGACCGCTACTAATGAAGATGCTGAAACCTTTTTGTTTCAAGCTGAAATCGCTCAGTTGATGACTTTGATCATCAACACTTTTTATTCTAACAAAGAAATTTTCCTTCGGGAATTGATCTCCAATTCTTCTGATGCTCTTGACAAAATCCGTTATGAGTCACTTATCGATGCTTCTAAGCTTGATTCTGGTAAAGATCTTTACATTAAAATTGTTCCAAACAAAGAGGAACGAACCTTAACCATTATTGATACTGGTATTGGTATGACCAAAGCTGATTTAATCAATAATTTGGGTACCATTGCCAAATCTGGTACTAAAGCTTTTATGGAAGCTCTTCAAGCCGGTGCCGATATCTCTATGATTGGTCAATTTGGTGTCGGTTTCTACTCAGCTTATTTGGTCGCTGATCGGGTTGTTGTTACATCCAAGCACAATGATGATGACTGTTATACTTGGGAATCATCTGCTGGTGGTTCATTCACCATTAAAAAGACAACCGATCCTGATTGTGTTCGAGGTACTAAAATTGTTTTATGGTTAAAGGATGACCAAAATGACTATCTCGATGAGAAGAAAATTAAAGAGGTGGTAAAGAAACACAGTCAATTTATTGGTTACCCGATTAAGCTTGTTGTCCAAAAGGAGAGAGAAAAGGAAGTGTCCGATGATGAAGGTGAAGAGGAGAAAAAGGAAGAAGACGAGGAAAAGAAGAAGGAAAATGATGAAGAAAAGAAAGACGATGACGAAGAACCAAAGGTAGAGGATGTTGAAGATGAGGATAAAAAGGACAAGAAAAAGAAAAAAAAGGTAACCGAAAAGTACATTGAAGACGAAGAGCTTAACCGAACCAAGCCCCTTTGGATGAGAAATCCTGATGACATTACCCAATCTGAATATGGTGAATTTTATAAAAGTCTAACCAATGATTGGGAGGAACATTTGGCAGTTAAACATTTCTCTGTTGAAGGTCAACTCGAATTCCGAGCTTTACTATTTGTACCAAAACGAGCTCCATTCGATCTTTTTGAAAATAGGAAACAAAAGAACAATATCAAATTGTATGTCCGTCGGGTTTTCATCATGGACAATTGTGAGGATCTCATTCCAGAATATCTCAACTTTATCAAGGGTGTGGTTGATTCTGAAGATTTACCATTGAACATTTCCCGAGAAATGTTACAACAAAATAAGATCTTGAAAGTTATCCGTAAGAGTTTGGTGAAACGGTGTATCGAATTGTTCGAAGAGGTAGCCGAAGATAAAGAGGCTTACAAAAAGTTTTATGAACAATTTAGTAAAAACATGAAACTTGGTATCCACGAAGACACTGGAAACCGAAAGAAGATCGCCGATCTTTTAAGATTTTATACTTCAGCTTCTGGTGATGAGATGTGTTCTCTTAAAGATTATGTTTCCCGAATGAAGGACAATCAAAAATCAATTTACTTCATTACCGGTGAATCAAAGGAACAAGTAGCCGCCTCTGCTTTCGTTGAGCGAGTTCGAAGCCGAGGATTCGAAGTGGTTTACATGGTGGAACCAATTGATGAGTATTGTGTCCAACAATTGAAAGAGTATGAGGGTAAACCTTTAGTTTCCGTTACCAAAGAAGGTCTTGAACTTCCCGAGACCGATGAGGAGAAGAAGAAGAGGGAAGAAGATGTAAAGAAATTCGAGACTCTATGCAAGGTGATGAAAGATGTGCTCGAAAAGCGAGTCGAAAAGGTAACAATCTCTAATCGTTTAGTTACCTCTCCATGTTGTATTGTCACAAGTCAATATGGTTGGTCTGCCAACATGGAAAGAATAATGAAAGCTCAAGCTCTTCGGGACACATCGACCATGGGCTACATGGCAGCGAAGAAACATCTTGAAATCAATCCCGATCATCCAATTGTAGAGAATTTGAGACAAAAGATCGAGGCTGATAAGAGCGATAAAGCCGTTAAAGATTTAGTCATGTTACTTTTTGAAACTGCTCTTCTCTGTTCTGGATTCTCTTTGGAAGATCCACAAAATCATTCGTCTAGAATTTATCGTATGATTAAACTTGGTCTTGGAATTGATGAAGATCTTGTGGAAGTTGGTGGTGGTGGTGATAAAGTTGCCGAAGCGGAAATGCCAGCATTAGAAGGTGATGCCGAAGATGCATCAAGAATGGAGGAAGTTGATTAAATCAAATTTTAAAATTTCTATAATTAATCATACTCATTGAAAGAACACAGAAGATGATCGATCAATAGTATCCTTTTTCTATCATTACTCTTTTCTTCCCTTTTCTCTCTTTCCTCTTCTTCTCTATTCTCAACCCTTTCCCTACAATCAATCAATTAGTCTCTTTAATCACCATAAATTGACTAATTATTTTACTTTCGATTGTTTTTGTTTCCTCTTTTCCTTTTCTATTTATTGAAAATCTCACTTCAATATCTTTTCTCAATTTCATTTTTTCCAAAAAAAAAAAATTGTCATTTAATGTCAACCCTTTTTTGTTAGAAATCATTAAATAAAAACATTTTGATTCAAATAAAAGACTCTTTTAATTCATTATAAAATTTTCTCTATTTTGGTTTACATCTAAATTGATTATCCTAATTTTTAATCGATTTGGTGAGAAATTCGTCTTATCAGTTTTTACTCATGAGTCTGAGACGAATTTCGAAACTCTTAAGGTTAATGTTCATTCGGACATTCGGTTCGATTTCTTAATTGAGAAAATGATTGTTAAGAATGAAAAAAATTCCCGGTTAAATTTAGACTGACCATTAAACGATTGTGTGTTTATCCTTGAGGCTTAGATGAAGCTAAAAGTAGAAAGTAAGAGAAGGAAAAAAAGTGATGAAGATAAAGATGATTCGAAAAGAAAGAGAAAGAGAAAGAGAGAGAGATGAGAGAAGCCCTTTCCAGTGAGAAGAGAGAGTAGAGGGAGAGGAGAATCTACATGAAGTGACCAAGAAAGTGACCGTTGATTAAGGGGACGCAACCGAACTCGGGGTTTCCTTTTTGGCCTAAATTCAATTTCGGGTCAGAATCTCTCCCACTTTATATAAAAAGATTTCGCATCGAAGGTCATTACTTTATTGCCCTTCGTTATTCTCAATCCATCAGTTGCTCATCACAATCAAATTCACATTTCGTTTCAGTGTCACTTGAGTTTTGTGTGTGTTCTGAGGTCATTACATTGGATTTAATTCCCTATTAATTGTTCATCATCATCTATTCGAGCTTCCAATCCAAGGTAAGTTGTTAAAAACGAAAAGATAATTAATAAACCATTAGAATCTAACGAGACAATTTTGTTCCTCGTTTTCTGTTAAACCGATTGTTGTGACTAATCAATCACAATCATGATCAAGTTAATACTCGAGAGAAGGACAATTAGTACCATAGATTAGAATCGAATGAAATTTACTAAATAATCTTTCATATTATTTTATTTCCTTTTCTATTTTCCAACAATAGTCTAGAATTATGAATCGTCAAATCGCAAATATTTTCTTCGCGTTTTTAATCGCGTCAACATTTTACCACGATTTCGCTGTTGCCTCGCGTTTGAAGAAGAAAATCCTTCTGAAAGGATTAATCGGCGCTGGATTACTAGTTAAATACCTTAAGCCAAAGAAAGGAATACTTCCTATTCCTCTTCCAATGCCATTGCCAATTCCAATTGAATGGGAACAACCACCAAGTAAATATTTCGCCTTCTTTCAAAACACCTTAAATTTACCGTTAGATTAACTCTTTTTTTCATCTTCTCCATTTTGATAACAGTAATCGTCCACCCAAAGCATCACCATGTTCCGATTCCTCAACCAGTACCAATGCCCGTTCATACTCCAGTTCATGTTCCGTAAGTAACAGAAACCATTTCTTTTTTTGCTCAACTAATCATATGGACTTTGTTACCAAATTATCATCATCAAGACTTGAGAGTTAATTACAAGAGATTAGATCACAATTAAGATGAAAATCTGAGCGAAAATGCCAAAAAAAGTTCAATATTCAAACAACACTTAGTCTAAAACACTCAGAAAAAAGATAAATTAGATAAAAACAATTAACTTAAACAAATTAAACGATCAAATTGTTTATCAATAATAAAGGACAACATTAATTAGTCAAGATGATCCAAAATTAGGTCAAAATGAAAAAGATTATCAAAAGTAAATTAAGATAAAAACGGTAAACATAATCAGCTGATTTCCTCTAATTTTAAAGGATTAACCGATGTTCTTATAACAATCAAAATCTCAACAGTTAATTTAGTTCAATTGAAAGTAAATTTCCAAATTGTACCTCTTAATCAAACGAAATTGGATTAGGTCACTTAAGGGAAATTAAATTAACAAACAAAAAGATCAACTAATCAACTTATTATTTAGAAGCAAAAAAAACCATAATGATTACTAATTATTACTCCATAAAAGTGTATTAGTTGTTTTCTTTCAGAATAGAAAATGAATTATTGAGTTTATCTAATTGCTGATTATTCTTAAAAAAGATCATGTCCTTGATCTTCATGTTAATCATCTTATTCCGTTATAATGCGATTAGAGAATTTATTTACCATCAAAATAACGGTTTCTCCTTCAATTCGGTGACCTTATTTCACTTTTAACCTCATCGATCGTTTACTTTTCGTTTTCTTTTTATATTTAGAATTTTGATTATTTCCATTTACCTGTTTAATTAACTATTCTAATCATATTAACATTCACTTTATTTATATAATTACCTTTCCTTCAGTTGCATAACCAGTTTCAGGGTAAATGAATAGACGATCAGAACAATATCTTTTTTCACCTTCGAACTGAGTTGATTCATATTCCTAATTCAATTCAGTTGATTAACGTTGAATTTTGTTCATCTAAACTTTTCCCCTTCTAAATTGATTGGAGTGAATTAGTTAGATCAGTTAATCAGTCGTTTGTTGTCCGAGACAATTTACTCTGATTTCTTTGAAAATTAAGATCATGCTAATTGTGTGTGGTTTTATTAATAGTTTTAATTGTTAGCTCTGAAGGTAGACACTGATTGGTGCAATTAAATTGATATGATTAAAAGTAATCACTCTTTTATGATTTGATCAATTTCTTATGTTAACCTTACCTTGGTAATTAGTTAATTAATTGAGTTTGATTTACCTTCCCTTGGATAAATTTGATTACCTTGATTGTTGATAATTGTTTCTTGATTGTTTGTGTCCTTTAAATGTGTAACATTGTCAATTGTTGATTTTTAATTGTATCGAGAAACTTAAATTAACCACAGAAACAAAGTTATTATTTAACAAATTCATTGATTAATCGTCATCATGATTTAAATTTAATATTTGAACTTGACCAGGTTCAAATTGTAATGATTTAAATTTAGTTCAACGAACTGAATTTACTCTGTCTGTCTGTTTCAATCAAATGGCAAATTAGTTTACAAATAACAATCAACTAATCAAAAAGTTTGATGAATTAATTTTCAATTAAAGTTTATTTTGGTTTCATCAATTAGTTAATGAATTGCTTGTGAATGAGAAAATTTTATCATGAATAATGAACAGTTAACATTTAGAAATCTGATTAATGATTGTATATCAAAAGTAAACAATCAAGAAAATGGAGTAGATTTTAATTGTTAACAAGAGATGAGAATCATTTTCCAATTTCTTAATTATCTTTGGAATTGTTGGAAATGTTTAATTGTTTTCGCTGTGAGTTCCTTTGAATATCCTGCTGATTGAACAAATTGTTCAGTTGTTGGACAATTTTCCAATTCACAAGAATCCATTCCAACTGAATTTCCACCCAAATAAGTTGGAATATTATCTTCATCAACCAATTCTCGAAGACCTGATCGATCAATGGACATCATTTGATTTCGAATATATTTAGGGAAGAAAAATTTAATCACATGATACATAAGTCGAAATGAAGTTGTCATCTCGATAAAAGCGACCCAGGCCAAAGAAAGAGGATAATGTTGAGTGTAGATGGTTAAAATTTCCTTGATGAGACGAATGTCCACCGATGGATTACGACAATCGTAGATGAGAGCGAATCGTTTATCACTTTCGATAACTCGATCTCTCATGGTTTCAGCGACCCAAATGAAATGTTGTAACACAAGACTGTTCAATTCTCGAGGTCCAGTTTGGGTCGAAAGTCTAATGAACAGTAAAGGATGACCAAGTTTATCATAACCGTAAGGATGAAACATCCCGTGGATGTGAAGTTCACGGGGAAATGATGTCGCCTTTAGGTCACATAATGAGTTTTCTTTTCGCCAACGGCAATGAGCTTTAACAGATTCAAATGAATCATGAATATTCCATGAGTGTGACTCTAAATAGGAAATCATGGACATTCTCTGACCACCACGAATAATTTTAGCATCATTTGGATCATATAAATGTCCATTGGTGGCGATTTCTTGTAAACACAATTCACGAAGAGAATCAATTGCCTGATTAACTTCCTCCTCTTCTCGAGTTAATCTGATCCATGGTTAATGATGATGATGATGATGATAGAATAGGTAAATACATACAAAAGTAATTAGATAATTAGCAAATCAAATTTCACTGAAACAAAATGATAACTGTAAATTTCACTTTAAATGCTGATATAAATTCACTTGGATCACTTAATGGAAACACTTACCTGGTTATGTTTGATTGAAAGTTGCTCGCAATTATCTCAGTCATGATTGTTGAATTTACTGATTTACACGAGAAAAATTTCACTCAATTTGATCGCAAATTAAGTTAATCACTTGTTAATTATCAAGATTAGTTCTGTTAGCTTTTTATAAGACTCTCGATTATATATAAACCAGCGACTCGCTAATGAGGGAGCTTCGAGTTGATTTTAATGGAAACGGGGGCTTTGGCTTGTACGATGGTCAGTGCAACTTTTTGAGAGAGAAAGTGAGAGAGGAAAATCGTAACAATATCTCTTCATGGTTACAATTATCATCATCAGTATAATCTATGAAAGGTAATCGTGATTATAACCGGAAAACCTTAATCAATTAATCCCTTCGAGCGATCAATGAGTTCCTTAGGAGAAAATGATTACAATGTAGGTTAAGGTCTCCTAATGGGTTACCCAAAAACAGAATTAATTTAATTCTTTCTTGTCGAATTTTTCTCTTTAGTTTATTTTCTTAATTGATAAAAATCCATTGACACGATCCTGAGAATTGTCCTTCATCTTGTTCTTGAAGAAGAAGAAAAAAGTTCCAACTCTGAAAATAAAAGATAAACAGGTAAACATGAGTAAAAGTGATTGAAGATGATAAAACCAAATGAACGTAATGTTTATCTGAACAACTTTTCGTATTCGGGTTTTTCTAAATCAGGTCGAGGAACAAATTTTATCGGTTTACAATTTATCCACAATTATCATCAGTTCTCGATAAGCTAATGTTCAACAATTAAGAAAAACTGAAACATTTACCATCAGAAAGATAATCAGATGATTTCCAATTAACGCTTTTCATCAGATATCAACTTTGCTTTTCTTCGGGGCAATTGAAGGTCATTGATTGATTACCTTTGTTCCAGGATAATTAAGTAATTGAGACTCACTTAATTAACTGATGAAGATGATTAGAAACATTGTTTACATTGAATAAGAAAATGTAACATCCGTTATGTCGAGACCTCCACTCGACTATCAAGGTTGGAATAGACGTTTTTTCTCACTCTAAATGGTTTCTTCTAATGATCGATCATTAATTTAGAAAAACAATTGATTAATAACAAGGTTCCAATGACCATTAGTGTGACCATCAAGTACAATTAATGGTCAACCTTTTATCCTGAGAATAAGAAAAGTTCTGAGACGTTCTGAGTTTCGTTTATCAATATTTAGATTTTCTATTTATTTTCTGTTCGTTGTACTTGAGAATCTTGATTCTATCGCTTTTCGTTACGAATTTTAATTCTAACTAATTGTCTTGTATTGATTGTTTTTAGAAGTCGAACACCTTCATGTGATCGTAATCCTGAATCTACTTTTGAATTGAAAGGCGAATTGGTTTCATCGCCGAAACACTCATCAGCTAAACTATTCCTTCAACCCTGTACTCAGAATATTCTTCATCTAACTAATCACATTGTCATGGATCCATATTCAAGAGTATAAACAAATCCACCATTTTCTTTTTCTAATCCTTCCTTAATACCCTTGCTTTGCTTAGAAAATGACTTAATTGCGTTTACATTAAGTCACTTTGATTCGCTTTCGGTGTTTTCAATACTTTCCTCTTGTAATTGTCTCAAAATGTGTAATTGATTCATCGATTGTTACTATTTATTGGAAAGTATTGGATTCACTTGAGGTTCCTTTGCCTGATCTTGTCACCCTTTCACCATCAAGTGCCTCGAGAAAGAAAACTAATGACCGGCACTTTTTTTTCGGTTACAGAGTTTGGCCTCTAGACAAGATCGGGACAAAGGAGTGAGACAATTAACAAGTGCTTCCTCAAATAATCATCATCAAATTGAAACAAATCAATATCAATACGATCAAGCTAACGGTCAACAATCATCACCAACTAATTAGGTGTTCAATCAATCGATGAAACTTTCACTTAAGAATTCATTTCATGATAATTTGTAACTTAATAGTCTTTCATTCAAGATCGGATAATCAACAATTTAAGTTGGAATTTATTAATCCTCTAACTGTAATTATCTTTTCTTACTCTAGAATCCATCATCACTCCAAATATCTAGTATCTGATAGCTTCCAATCACCAGGTAATTTGATGTTTTGTTTTTCATTTACTTTCCTTGTTTTAATTTATCTTTGAACGCTAATGATTTATGTCCATTTCTATTTACAGAGTATCCCAGTTACAGTGGTTCAAGTCCTTTAGCAAGTTACAGTAGCTCGAGCTATGGAAACAGTTATAATGGCAATAACTATGGAAACTCCTACGGAAACAGTTATGGTGGAAGTAGCTATGGAGGAAACTATGGAGGAAACTATGGAAGTCTCGATGAAGGTTATGGTGGATCCGATGGATATGGAGGGTCTGATGGTTTCGGCGAGTCTAGTGGTTATGGCGATGACAATGGTTACTAGTTAATCATGATTTCTAATCAATAAACTGTTATCCATTTGTTCAATCATCTTTACATCTCATCTCATCATCTCTTGACCACCGTTGCCAATCATATACACTTTTGCCATCTTCAACCTTACCACCAAGTCCATCATCTTCATCGTCTAAAGCCAATTAAATTAAACCTCATCTTCATCATCAATGTAACCCCACCATTATTATGATTTATTAAAATCAATAAATACACATACGAAATGATTAATTTGCTGATATTATTAAATTTATTTGAAAAGGAAACTTTTTCTACAGAATTTGATAAACAAAATAAACGATAATCAAGGTAGATCAGGGTAATTGTTGAGAAAATATTCCTTGAGGCCAACATAAAGATCGAGTCGGAAATTTGCTTCTTCCTGGAAAAGAAAATGAAGAGAAAGAATTTTAATCACAACAATTAGGGATACTTATAATTATGAGAATTGAGAATTACCCATAGGATCATCATTGATTCTTGATCGATTCTTGGATGGCAAAGTCTCCACAAACAATTAACCATATTAGAAATCATAGAACCAAAGTCGGTCTCCTTGATTAAGTTAATTGTCTCATTCTCTAGATCATCTGCATCCAATGATTGCAACTGAATCAACTGATTACAATAATGACGAAGAAAAAAAATCCTTCGATTTGGAGATGGATAATAATCGACCAAATTAAATGGAGTTGATTGTTTTTCCTTCCAACGATTTGAAGCAATTTCACTGAAAAAAGTCACAATATCACTCCAACGATAATGGTAATCAGAGTATTCATAATCAATGAGAACAATTTTATTCGCTGGATCTTTAATTGTTGCTCCATGTTCGATACTTTTTCTTTCTCGAATTAGTATATTAGATCGGTTAAGATCTCGATGACAGAAGACAACTTTTGATGGAATAGAATCAAGAATTGAAATCAACCAGTTAATTTCTCGAGAGTAATTAAAGGAACACAATCTCTCCGACCACTGATTTACTTTTGATCCAGAACGATAATCAAGCAATACTGAATTTGATTTGAGATTTGTGATCATTGAGAGTAAATAATTGGGCAGATCAACGGAACGAGAAAAGGGTAATCTTAACGAGTGAATCATCGCCATTTTTGAGGCCAAAATTTCAAACATCGATGGTCCTTCATATTGTTCACGAGTCGGTGTTGTCGACTATCGATGATTAAAGTCAAATCAAGTTCATCAAGTAAGTTAATTTTCATGATGGAATTGAGTTGATGTTCTTACCTGAATAAACTCTTCGATTCTTCCACCATCAAAGATTCCAATTAATTTGGGTCCTAAATTTTCTCCGAAATAATATAACTGATTAGAACTTCTCGTTCTCTCGATTCTTTCGAATCGGTTGTTCCTTTGATGAAAGAATTGCCATAAAAACGAACGATAACTTCATTCGAGTTCGAGTTGTGGTCAGTTATCCAACATCGATAGATTCGATTACTTCGACCCTCTCTAATCACAGAATTAAATTCAAGTTCGAAAACAATCATGGTAAAAAATTTAATTCGATTAACAATCAACTTACTTGATTCGTTCAATTGAAATTTCCTCTGGACTTGACCAGCCTAAGAAATCTGAACACAATTTAATTATCTGTTGATGTGCGATTGAATCATCTGATTGAGTCGCCATTGATTTAGTGATTGTCCAATTAAGTCAATTAAGAGACTCATTTTATACAATATCGTCTTCTTGGTTTAATTATCACAATTTAAATCACTATCAAGCTAGTCAGTGAAAATAGAAAGGTAATAAAAAGAGTTGACCAATTTACTTTAAGATTTTTTTTCTCAAACTAAATTAAAGTTTAATTGTCACATTTTTCTTGTTGTTTAACATTGCAATTGATTTATTGATCAACTGATTCATGATCAACAAGTTTTTTATCATGTTAAATTAATGTAATTAAGTAAAAAAAGTGATCACAATTTAGGAGGATGTTAAGTAATATTAAATCAACAAGAAAACAAATTAAACTTTAATTTGCTGATTAAATTTTTTCTTAATCATAATTTCATATGATTTAATTTTCCTTTTCCCTTTCAATCTAAATTAGTGTAATTAATAGTTCAAGTGAATATCTAAACATAATTGAGAATTTATATCGAGATTTGAATTGAGACCTTGAAGAAAAAAAAAAAGAAATGAATAATAAAACAATCAACTGATCAGACATGAAATGAATATTAAATTAGATTTAATTACTGAGTCATCGATACAAATTCAGAGTTTTACTTCAAATAAGATTTGAATAATTAACCTAATTAAATATTCTTCGAACTTTATCATAATCGATGACAATTGAATGATTTCGCGACATTTACTTTTTCTTAATTGTTGACGATTCTTACTGAAAACATCTCGTTAACGCTAAAAAATTTATTCATTGCTGGAAAAGTTGATTATGTGATGATAGAGATGAAGCCTGCTGTTGTTTCAAAGAGATGGCCATTAATGTTTTATTAGATGTAAGAGTTGAAATGATTGTTTTCTGATTTGCTTTCCCTGATTTTATATTTGTTATCAACGATTCCATTAATTGGTTCATTTCGTTCATTAGTTCAGCTTGCGACTGGGCATCTAACGTACCTAACGTAGATTGGTTTGTTTGTGCCCCTTGAATCTAATAAAATAGAGTAGAAAATGTGTGAGTTGATCAAATTGTAGAGAAAAGTAAATCACCAATTAAAACTATTATCATTTTAATGATCTTACTTGTTGTTGAATATGCATTTGCTGTCCTTGGGGTTGTTGTTGACCACTCATGACCACCATTTGAGGCTGAATCTGTACACTGGATGCTACTGGTATAGGGACTTGTTGCTGGGACTGTTGGGGCATCATTTGTGGTTTATCTGCAGGCTGAGTCTAGAGAGATGAAGATATAAAAATTGAATAAAAATCTGAATTAATGATCCAACTTGTTGAATAGGTTGTCGGTAGTTAAGTTCGTGTTTTCTTGTTACAGAATCCTTGATACCTCTGACCCAAGCTGATCTGCTGAAGAAATAAGAACTTGATACAGGATAAGATATAACACTTGGAAGGTCACCTTTTCTTGCTGTGTAGTTTTCTGTGTCGATGTTTGCCTGTTGGACGAGGATTTTACTGTTTGTTTCCTTTTCAGAGCAAATTTTGATCCTTTCTTCAAAAAAGCGGCCATCGTCTTTCGATAACATTTCATGATAACATTCAAAATAATTTTCAGTTGTTTCCTAACTCGTTGCATCGATTGATTCAGTCGCCGTATATCACCAGTTCCAAGTTGATCCCGTTGAGACACTTGAACCTAAAAAAAGATAAAATATAAAAGTACAGACCAAACATTCAATTAGAAACAGCAACTCGACAATCAAAACAAACGGTTAACAAAAAGTGACAGATATTCTTAGGGCCAAATTTACCTCAAGTTTTGGTTCTATTTCAGAAGTGAAAATTTGGTCCATTGGTCGTGATTAATAATCGAAGATTTTAAATAGTAATTACCAAGAAAATAGAAGAAGATGGGTTAAGAATTCGTAAAAAAAGATGACAGAGAGTTTCAACAAAGAACAAAACTTTTTTTAAAACAATTTGGTTTTCGGAAAAAGCGGAAAGAGTGAATCGGTAATCGTGTTTTCCGTACGCGATTCCGGATTTTAACCGGAAAAATTCGAGTTTGTTTAGAGCTGATTAAAGTAATATAATTAATAGTTCGAGTGAATATCTAAACATAATTGAGAATTTATATCGAGATTTGAATTGAGGCCTTGAAGAAAAAAACAAAAAGAAATGAATAATAAAACAATCAGCTGATCAGACATGAAGTGAATATTGGATTTAATTACTGAGTCATCGATACAAATTCAGAGTTTTTACTTCAAATAAGATTCGCATATTTAACCTTATTAAATATTCTTCTCTTCGAACTTTATGAAAAACGAAAGAGAGCTAATTTGCGTAAATAACGGTGAAATTACATTCACCAACTCTCTGATTTATCGATTGATTGAATTTAACTCCTGAGTTTATGTAAGATTTTGCATTATCAGGTGTACGTTGCAAGAGCATCTCCATGTTAAGAGCGGTGAGAATGGAATCAAGATTGGAACTTTGAAACATGATTTTATATCGAATAGAAGGAACCACAAAAGACTAAAATGAGAACATCTCGATCTTCGGGCGATTTGGACGTTATTCGCATCCATCCAAACTTTCTCGATGACAATTGAATTTCGAGACATTTGTATTTGTTGAGTCTTAATGGTTCTGCTGAGAACATTTCACATCAACGAACAAAATTTTATTCGTTACTGGAAAAGTTGATTCTGTGCCTGATTTTGAGATGATTGAGATGAAGCCTGCCTTTGTTTCAAAAAGGCGGCCATTAATTTTGGATTAGATTGAAGAATTGAAATGACTGTTTTCTGATTTTGCTGAGATGTTGGAGATTTTAACATTGCTATCAACTGTCCCATCACTGAATTCATTTGTTGAGATTGCGACTGGGTACCTACCCCACCGGACCCAGATTGGTTTATTTGTGCCCCTTGAATCTAATAAAAAATAGAGAAGAAAATGTAAAAGTTAGTTAAATTGTTGAAAAAGTAAATCAACGATTTAAACTATTGATTCAATGATCGTACTGGGCGCTGTGAGTACGGTTGAAATGCAATTTGTTGAGGTTGTTGTTGCTGTTGTGTAACTTGTGATGGAGTTTGTTGTTGTTGTTGCTGGTTTGATGGTGGTTGAGGTGGAGTTTGTTGAGGCTGTTGAGGGTTAATTCTAGAGTGTACAAGAAAATAGGAAATAATTAATGGAAAAGATTCTTAATAAGAGCATCTCATCAACGAGCGAAATTTTACTTACTGTTGGAAAAGTTGATTCTGTGCCTGATTTTGTGATGATTGAGATGAAGCCTGCCTTTTTTTCAAAAAGGCGGCCATTAATTTTGGATTAGATTGAAGAATTGAAATGACTGTTTTCTGATTTTGCTGAGATGTTGGAGATTTTAACATTGCTATCAACTGTCCCATCACTGAATTCATTTGTTGAGATTGCGACTGGGTACCTACCCCACCGGACCCAGATTGGTTTATTTGTGCCCCTTGAATCTAATAGAAAAATAGAGAAGAAAATGTAAAAGTTAACCAAATTGTAGAGAAAAGTAAATCGCCAATACAAACTAATTATTTTAGTGATCGTACTTGTTGAATCTGCATTTGCTGTCCTTGTTGTGGTTGTTGTTGACCCCTCATGCCCTGGATTACTCGAGGCTGTACACATGCTCCAGGTAATTGTCTTCTAGTTACAGAATCTCCTGAATCCCTGATGCTTGTGACCCCAAGCTGAGGAGCCCCGGAAGGTGCGACACTTGGAAGGGGCACCTTTTTTTGCTGCGTAGTTTTCTGAGTCGATGTTTGCCTGTTAGATGAGGATTTTACTGTTTGTTTCCTTTTCAGAGCAAATTTTGATCCTTTTCTCCAAACAGTGGCCATCGTCTTTCGATAACATTTCATGATTGAATTCACTCTTTTGCGATTCCCTTTCGACGATGGAAAGTTCAAAATCAATTTCAGTTGTTTCTTAACTCGTTGCATCGATTGATTCAGTCGCCGTATATCACCAGTTCCAAGTTGATCCCGTTGAGACACTTGAACCTAAAAAAAGATAAAATATAAAATTACAGAGCAAACATTCAATTAGAAACATAAACTCAACAATCAAAACAAACGGTGAACAAAAAGTGACAGATATTCTTAGGGACAAATTTACCTCAAGTTTTGGTTCTATTTCAGAAGTGAAAATTTGGTCCATACCAAGAAAATAGAAAAAGATGGATTAAAGATTAAAAAAAATGAAAGAGAGTTTCAACTATTTCTATCAAAGGACGAGAGAAAACATTGTTTATAGTGATTGGCGATATTATCGATAAATATCATCGATATTTTGGATTCGATTTATAATCGATATAAAAAAAATATCGATATACAATTCTCTTTCTTTTTACTCTCTCTTTTAATGCGATTTTTCGCGATTTTTTTCCGTTTCCATCATTTTACTCTTTCTCTTACTTTATTCTGTTTCTTTTTCTCTGTCGCTTGAATATCGTCGATGATATTTTTTTCAAATATCGCTCATCACTAATTGTTTATAAAACAATTGGTTTTTCAGAAGAAGCAAAAAGGAATCGTAATCATGTTTTCCGGTCGCGACTTCGTGATCTGTAACCAGAAAAATTCGAGTTTGTTTTCGGTTCAGAGCTGATTAAATTTAATTGTCTATCTTTCGAAAATTAATATTATTAAATTCTCAATAAGAGTAAATTCAACCACGTTCCATTAATGGATAATAAAAAAGTAACGAAAATCACCAAATCGATGAGGATCATCTCGTAAACTAATTACTCGACTTCAACTCTCAATTTAATTGTTTCTCAATCAATGAAAAGATTTATCAAATAAATAAAATGTTTATCAAACAAATATCAGGTCTGAAATTTGTGTTCTTTTCAAAGAAGTTCTGATAAAATTGAATATTCTGACGATTCGATAATCAATCTCATCTCTTTTTGTCTCTTAATATCTTTTGAAATGAACAGTATTGGGAAATATTCACTGGTAAGATTTGAATGATTGACCGAATGTAATAATCAAGCTAAATAATATTTAGTTCATGTAATGAAAACTAATTTGATGTAATAAAAACTTAGAACAATATATTGAATGATAAACAAAAACAGTAGGGAAATTTAACTTTCATCGCTGAGAAAAACTATGAAATGAACAATTAGATATTCAAAAGGTGATTTTATGTTTGATGTGTGATTTAAAGATGTTTGTTATTGTTTATGTTTATTACTTGTTAATACATGGTCAATATATTGTATGAATTAGAATAGATAGACAAAGAAAGAAATACAATTAGATAATGAAAGAAGGGGTTGACGTTTTTGATTAATCAATTAAACCTAGGTTGTTGTTGTTGTTGTGGTGGTTGTGGTGGTGGTTGAGGTGGAATTTGTTGAGGCTGTTGAGGGTTAATTTTAGAGTGTACAAGAAAATAGGAAATAATCAATGAAAAGATTCTTAATAAGAGCATCTCATCAACGAGCGAAATTTTACTTACTGTTGGAAAAGTTGATTCTGTGCCTGATTTTGTGATGATTGAGATGAAGCCTGCCTTTGTTTCAAAAAGGCGGCCATTAATTTTGGATTAGATTGAAGAATTGAAATGACTGTTCGCCGCTCATGCTGAGATGTTGGAGATTCTAACATTGCTATCAATTGTTGCATCACTTTGTTCATTGGTTCAGGTTGCGACTGGGTACCTACCCCACCGGACCCAGATTGGTTTGTTGATGCCTCTTGAATCGTATAAATAGAGTAGAAAATGTAAGAGATGATCAAATTGTAGAGAAAAGTAAATCACCAATTAAAACTATCATCATTTTAATGATCGTACTTGCTGAATCTGCATTTGCTGTCCTTGGGGTTGTTGTTGACCACTCATGCCCACCATTTGAGGCTGAATCTGTACACTGGATGCTACTGGTATGAGGACTTGTTGCTGGGACTGTTGGGGCATCATTTGTGGTCCTCCAAGTTGAGTCTATAGAGATTAAATATAAAGATTGAATAAAAATTAAAATCTGAATTAATAATCGAACTTGTTGAATAGGTTGACGGTAGTCAAAGTCATGTGTTCTTGTTACAGAATCTCTAGAACCCTTGATGCTTGTGACCCGAAGCTGAGGATCTGCTCAAGATATAACACTTGGAAGGATCACCTTTTCTTGCTGTGTAGTTTTCTGTGTCGATGTTTGCCTGTTGGACGAGGATTTTACTGTTTGTTTCCTTTTCCAAGCAAATCCGAGCGAATGTGAATCTCAAAATAGTGGCCATCGTCTTTCGATAACATTCAAAATCATTTTCAGTTGTTTCCTAACTCGTTGCATCGATTGATTCAGTCGCCGTATATCACCAGTTCCAAGTTGATCCCGTTGAGACACTTGAACCTAAAAAAAGATAAAATATAAAATTACAGAGCAAACATTCAATTAGAAACATAAACTCAACAAGTAAAACAAACAATGAACAAAAAGTGACAGATATTCTTAGGGACAAATTTACCTCAAGTTTTGGTTCTATTTCAGAAGTGAAAATTTGGTCCATTGGTCGTGATTAATAATCGAAGATTTCAAATAGTAATTAGTAAGAAAAGCGGAAGATGGATAGGTAGAAGTAGACGGATTAAAAATTTAAAAAAAGTGACAGAGAGTTTCAACAAAGAACAAAACTTTTTTTTAAAACAATTTGGTTTTCGGAAAAAGCGGAAAGAGTGAATCGGTAATCGTGTTTTCCGTACGCGATTCCGGGATTTATAACCGGAAAAATTCGAGTTTGTTTGAAGCTGATTAAAGTAATATAATCAATTGTTCAATTGAATATCTAAACATAATTGAGAATTTATATCGAGATTTGAATTGAGACCTTGAAGAAAAAACAAAAAGAAATGAATAATAAAACAATCAGCTGATCAGCAATGAAGTGAATATTAGATTTAATTATTGAGTCATCGATACAAATTCAGAGTTTTTACTTCAAATAAGATTTGCATATTTAACCTTATTAAATATTCTTCTCTTCGAACTTTATGAAAAAACGAAAGAGAGCTAATTTGCGTAAATAACGCTGAAATTACATTCACCAACTCGCTGATTTATCGATTGATTGAATTTAACTGCTGAGTTTATGTAAGATTTTGCAATATCAGGTGTACGTTGGATAAGCATCTCCATGTTAAGAGCGGTGAGAATGGAATCAAGATTGGAACTTTGAAACAGGATTTTATATCGAATAGAAGGAGCCACAAAAGACTAAAATGAGAACATCTCGATCTTCGGGCGATTCGTATCCGATCAAAAATTCTCAATGACAATTGAATTTCGAGACATTTGTATTCGTTAATTCTGACAGATTCTTGCTGAGAACATCAACGAACAAAATTTTACTCATTGTTGGAAAAGTTGATTCTGTGTCTGATTTTGTAATGATTGAGATGAAGCCTGCCTTTGTTTCAAAAAGGCGGCCATTAATTTTGGATTAGATTGAAGAATTGAAATGACTGTTTTCTTATTTTGCTGAGATGATGGAGATTTTAACATTGTTATCAACTGTCCCATCACTGAGTTCATTTGTTGAGATTGCGACTGGGTACCTACCCCACCGGACCCAGATTGGTTTATTTGTACCCTTGAATCTAATAGAAAAATAGAGAAGAAAATTTAAGAGTTAATCAAATTGTTGAGAAAGTAAATAAACAATCTGAACTATTGTTTTAATGGTCGTACTGGTTGCTGTGAGTACAGTTGAGGTGGAATCTGTTGAGGCTTTTGTTGCTGCGCCAGCATCGTTCTTTGTTGTTGTTGCTGCTGTGATGGTGGTTGAGATGGAATCTGTTGAGGCTGTTGAGAGTTAATTCTAGAGTGTACAAGAAAATAGGAAATAATTAATGGAAAAGATTCTTAATAAGAGCATCTCATTAACGAGCGAAATTTTACTTACTGTTGGAAAAGTTGATTCTGTGCCTGATTTTGTGATGATTGAGATGAAGCCTGCCTTTGTTTCAAAAAGGCGGCCATTAATTTTGGATTAGATTGAAGAATTGAAATGACTGTTCTCTGATTTTGCTGAGATGATGGAGATTTTAACATTGTTATCAACTGTCCCATCACTGAGTTCATTTGTTGAGATTGCGACTGGGTACCTACCCCACCGGACCCAGATTGGTTTATTTGTACCCCTTGAATCTAATAGAAAAATAGAGAAGAAAATGTAAAAGTTAATCAAATTGTAGAAAAGTAAATCACCAATTTAAACTATTATCATTTTAATGATCTTACTTGTTGTTTAATCTGCATTTGCTGTCCTTGTTGTTGTGGTTGTTGTTGACCACTCATGGCCACGATTACTCGAGGCTGCACACCTGATGCTACAAGTATCTGTCTTCTGGTTACAGAATCTCCTGAATCCCCGATGCTTGTGACCCGAAGCTGAGAAGCTCCGGAAGATGCGACACTTGAAAGGGTCACCTTTTCTTGCTGCGTAATTTTCTGTGTCGATGTTTGCCTGTTAGATGAGGATTTTACTGTTTGTTTCCTTTTCCGAGCAAATTTTGATCCTTTTTTCAAAACAGTGACCATCGTCTTTCGATAACATTTCATGATTGAATTAACTCTTTTGCGATTCCCTTTCGACGATGGAAAGTTCAAAATCAATTTCAATTGTTTCTTAACTTGTTGCATCGATTGATTCAGTCGCTGTATATCACCAGTTCCAAGTTGATCCCGTTGAGACACTTGAACCTAAAAAAAGATAAAATATAAAAGTACAGACCAAACATTCAATTAGAAACATCAACTCAACAAGCAAAACAAACAATGAACAAAAAGTGACAGATATTCTTAGGGACAAATTTACCTCAAGTTTTGGTTCTATTTCAGAAGTGAAAATTTGGTCCATTGGTCGTGATTAATAATCGAAGATTTCAAATAGTAATTACCAATAAAATAGAAGTAGACGGATTAAAAATTCGTAAAAAAGATGAAAGAGACTTTCAATCATTTTAAAAAAGAACGAGAGAAAAAATTGTTTATAGTGATTTGCGATATTATCGATAAATATCATCGATATTTTGGATTCGATTTATAATCGATATAATTTTATTTCTTTTTAGTCTCTCTTTTAATGCACATGCGATTTTTCCCGATTTTTTCCGTTTCCATTATTTTTCTCTTCTTCTTACTTTATTCAATAAAGTTTATTCTCTTTCTTTTTCTCTGTCGCTTGAATATCGTCGATGATTTCTTTGTTTTATAAACAATTTGTTTAAAAAACAATTGGTTTTTCAGAAGAAGAGAAAAAAGTGAACCGGTAATCTTGTTTTCCGGTCGCGACTTCGGGATTTGTAAACAGAAAAACTCGAGTTTGTTTTCACTTTAGAGCTGATTAAATCTAATTATCTATCTTTCGAAAATTAATATTCAATTCTCAATAAGAGTATATTCAATCACTTTCCATTAATGGATAAGAAAAAAGTAACGCAAGTCATCAAATCGATGAGGATCATCTCGTAAACTAATTACTCAACTTCAACTCTCAATTTAATTGTTTCTCAATCAATGAAAATATTGGATTTTCATCAAACAAATATCAGCTTTGAAATTTATGTTCTTTTCAAAGAAGCTCTGATAAAATTGAATATTCTGACGATTCGATAATCAATCTCATCTCTTTTTGTCTCTTAATATCTTTTGAAATGAACAGTATTGGGAAATATTCACTGGTTAGATTTGAATGATTGACCGAATGTAATAATCAAGCTAAATAACATTTAGTTCATGTAATGAAAACTAATTTTACTTTGATTAAAATCCGACTAATGTCCATCAAAGATTTAAAGTTAGTAAATTTGATAAGATTAAAATCATTCAACTTGATTAATATAATAATGTACATGGAAAATTTGAGGAAAAAATTTGATGTAATAAAAACTTAGAACAATATATTGAATGATAAACAAAAACAGTAGGGAAATTTAACTTTCATCGCTGAGAAAAACTATGAAATGAACAATTAGATATTCAAAAGGTGATTTTATGTTTGATGTGTGATTTAAAGATGTTTGTTATTGTTTATGTTTATTACTTGTTAATACATGGTCAATATATTGTATGAATTAGAATAGATAGACAAAGAAAGAAATACAATTAGATAATGAAAGAAGGGGTTGACGTTTTTGATTAATCAATTAAACCTAGGTTGTTGTTGTTGTTGTGGTGGTTGTGGTGGTTGAGGTGGTTGAGGTGTTTGATACCATTGCTGGTTATTTGATTGTATATGTTGTCCTGGTTGCACTTGCTGCATTTGGATTTGTTGTGGTTGTTGTTGAGATTGTTGTTGCTGCTGTTGCTGTTGTTGTTGTTGTTGCACCAGCATCATCCTTTGCTGAACCTGTTGATGTTGATGTTGTTGTTGTTGTTGTTGTTGTTGCTGCTGCTGGTGCTGCTGCTGTTGTTGCTGCGCTAGCATCATTCTTTGTTGTTGTTGCTGTTGTGTAACTTGTGATGGAGTTGTTGTTGTTGTTGTTGTTGTTGTTGTTGTTTCTGTGATGGTGGTTGAGGTGGAATTTGTTGAGGCTGTTGAGGGTTAATTCTAGAGTGTACAAGAAAATAGGAAATAATTAATGGAAAAGATTCTTAATAAGAGCACCTCATAAAAAAGCGGACTACTAAAATACTTACTGTTGGAAAAGTTGATTCTGTGCCTGATTTTGTGATGATTGAGATGAAGCCTGCCTTTGTTTTAAAAAGGCGGCCATTAATTTTGGATTAGATTGAAGAATTGAAATGACTGTCCTCTGATTTTGCTGAGATGATGGAGATTTTAACATTGTTATCAACTGTTGCATCACTTGGTTCATTTGTTGAGGTTGCGACTGGGTACCTACCCCACCGGACCCAGATTGGTTTATTTGTGCCTCTTGAATCTAATAGAAAAATAGAGAAGAAAATGTAAAAGTTAATCAAATTGTAGAGAAAAGTAAATCGACAATTTTAAACTATTATCATTTTAATGATCATACTTGTTGTTGAATCTGCATTTGCTGTCCTTGTTGTGGTTGTTGTTGACCACTCATGCCCACCATTTGAGGCTGAATCTGTACACTGGATGCTACAGGCATTTGCTGTCTAAGGACTTGTTGCTGGGGCTGTTGGGGCATCATTTGTGGTTTACCTCCAGGTTGAGTCTATGAAAAAAAGCAATAACAAAATAAAAAATAATGTATACGTTCAAAGATTTAAATAAAAAATGAAATATTATTACAGCTATTAGATGAAAGTATTCAGGTCGAAGCTGTCAAACTTACATTAGGTGAAGCCATAGGCATAGTTGGAGGTACTCTTATAAACCTAGTTTGTTGAGGTGTTTGTGGTGTTGGATACCACTGTTGATTATCAGTTTGAATATGCTGTACAGGTTGCACTTGTTGCATTTGAATTTGTTGAGGTTGCTGAGCTTGTTGTTGTTGTTGTTGCGCCTGCTGTTGTTGCTGCTGCTGCTGTTGTTGTTGTTGCTGCTGAGCTAAGAGCATCCTTTGCTTTTGCTGTTGTAAGATTTGCTGTGCATGCATTTGTTGTTGTTGTTGTTGCTGCTGCTGTTGCTGCTGAGGATGAGGCTGCATGCTCATATGTGGTCTAGGTGTTTGAGGTTGTGAACCTATAAAATAATCAAGAAAAAAATTAGTTCATTTTGAACGAAAAGACATTTATTGTGATTCAATCATTACCTTGAGGCACAGATTGTTGTGTGTAATTTAGCATAGGCTTTCCTTTTCCGTAAGGATTCTGTTGAGACATGACCTGTGGTGGCTGTAGAGACGGTTGTTGATGTTGCTGCTGTTGACGTGCGACAGCAGCTTGCACTTGCTGCACAGCCTGAAGAGCGCCAACAGGTGGAGGTGTTACAGTAGCAGGTTTCATGTAATGTTGCTATAAATATCAAGGGAAAAAGATACAGATTAGTAAAAGGTATTCGATAAATGATTATCAAAGTTAGAAAATGTTTAATCTTCAGAGAGCAAAAAACGTACCGGTGTTTGCGCTGGTGATGGACTATAATCGTGTGATGGAGCCGAAGGTTGGGCTGATTGAGAAATACTTGTCATCGTTGCTATTCTCCTTCTTAATATTTGGTGTTGTTGTAATTTTTGTTGTAATTGCTGTTGTCTTAACTTATGCTTAATGTTCAAACAGTAAGGAACTGGACATTTCTGTTCATTGCAATGTTTAGCATGATAACAACATAAAGCGATAAGTTGTTTACAAATGGGACAGCCTGTTGCACCACCCCCTTGGCTGGCCATTCCTGGTCCAGATTGATTAGTTTTACGTTTACAACTCTTAGCATGCTGTACAACTCTTTTCATCTTATGACAAGAGGGTAATCTACAATTAGCGTCACGACATTGACAAGCATGGACCAAGCTCTGAATACATCTTTGGATGGAAAGTCTCCTAGATTCACCAGGTGAAGTAATTGTTGATCCACTCGAACCATCTCCATGGTTATCAAGTTCACCTGATCCACCGGCAATTGCAGCACCTGATTATGAATAACAGAAGATTGAATGAGTTAATATAAAGATATCTTTGGATGTAAATAAAAAGGTGAATGAAACAAGTAACTTACCAGCTACAGCACCGTCTCCATCAACACCACCAACGAGATCACCAAAACCAAGTTTTTCCATTTTATGATTATGACCTTCGTTATTGTAACAGGTAACACAGAGGTCAAAGTCTTCACACTCTGTACAATGGTATCGAGTCTCAACAACGTGTCTTTTACATTTATTACAAGTATATACAAATCCACCATTACCTGAATAAGAATGAAAATAAAAGAAAAACAATTAGTTTAATTCTGATTAGAAACAAAAACTTGATTGCGATAAACTTACCGCTATTATGAAGTTCATAAAGTAAGGCCATGGTAGAAAATTTGGCCCGTCGAAGGGTCGAAAATTCAAAATGCTTCTCACGAGCCATGGTGAGAAAAGCATCTCTACCATCCATTAAATCACAATTTAAAGATTGATCAGGATCGTTAATTGGAGGTAAACTAGCAGCTGATTGCGTCGAGTGAAGTCGAATGACAAAGAAAACCTCCTTATGCTTTTCCATTGTCTGATAGATCTTATTTATTAATTCTTGTTCCCATTGAAGGCTAGAGTTGGCCTGTTGAAAGAGAAAACGTTGAATCGATTGATTAGAATTAACGAAAAAACCAAACAAGAAAAAAACTCATGCAAGAGAAATAATTATTTACCTGAACAACGGCAAGTTGATTAGAACCACTTTTGTGTCTCGAATGAACGTTATTCTTTCTTTGTTTTTGTTTTTTATTCGATTTTTTACTACCACCAGATTTCTTTTGTTGTTTAATTTGATTATTACAACCATCTTTACTGTTGGAGTTTTTAGAATTAAGGCTCAAAACGTCAGAGGGTTTACTACAATTTCCATCAGCCTTATCACCGCACTCACTCATTGTGTCTGTAAGAGTAATAGAAAAGAGAGTTAGGTAAAGTTAGAATTCCAATTATTGTTTACATCTTATTCTTGTAAGAATTTGAATTTAGACAATTTTCTCTCGTATCTTACCCATTGACTCGTCATCAGTAGGATTACCAGAATTATTAAAAATACTATCTTGTTGAGGAGTTGATGGTTCAGCTGGAGGAAAGACTAATTGTTGAACTTTTTGTTGCTGTTGTGTTGCTTGTTTCTGCTGTTCCATTTCAATCTCTTTGATCGACTCTTCAATTACATTAGGCCAAAAATCGCCTTCAAAATAAGGCAATTCAGTGGCTGACTTAAAACCATCTTCTGTGGCTTGTTTAAGGATATCTTTGTAGTCTAAAACGATTCTTTCAATTATCCCCTTGTCCAACATTTTCTTATACCATTCTTGTAACCTTTTTGGTTTAGGAATCTTTTGCTCAGGCGGATGACAATGGAAGATATAGTCATCTCCTTCGGAAGGAGGACAAGCCCAAATATGAGCCATTGTGTACCCTAATTGTTTAGTATAGTCAAGATATCCTAATAAAATCTCGTGATATACAGCAGTTCTGTATTGCTTAGGCCGGAAGAAATGAACCGAATCAAGATAAGCTATATATACACGCCTGTGAACAGAAAAATGAAATGATGAAAAAAATGAATTAGATGATGAACATAATTTAAGTAGAAATTTGAATGAAAAAGATGGCAAGTTATCAAATATCATACCTTGAGTTCGGTGGACCAGCATCAGAGCCATATTCTTGGACATGCATTCCAAAGAAACAAACATCCACACCATTAAAATCTTCGAAGGCAAATAAAGCCTTAGCACGATAGGGAAATGTACTGGGTAATTCGACAGGACCAAGTTCATTATATTTAAATGCGTATCTGAAATTAGAAGAAAAAAGCAAAAGTTAGAATAAAATATTAAAATTGAATAGAGAAAAAAAAGAATAGTGAAAATGAATTAGATAAAGTTAATTACTTTTGTTTCATTAAAGATTTAACTTCAACAATTTTCTCGGAGCTCGAGACAACTCTAATGGAAACTTCTCCAGCTCCTGTTTCCTTTTTTCTTAAAAATGTGTTAACCCGATTCTCAATGTAGGAACCTAATTTCGATTGCGGTAGTCTTTTAGCAGAAAACTTATTCTCTTTCTTCTTTTTGCTCTTTGCTTTTAGACAACTATCACAAACGAAACCTTCAGGCCAAATTTGGTCAGTGTGAAGAACACAGATTTGATGTAATTTTCGGGCACACTCTTTACATTCTACAAATGGTTCGAGGTCAATATGATTGTTTTTACATTCGATGAACTGATTTTTAGGAATAGTCTGGGTTCCAACAACTTTTGAATCAGGACCTAAGCCATCGCCTATTGTCACCGTATCACCAGGAATTTCATGGAAACATTTTAAACAATAAGTAATCCTAGAATGAGACAGAATAATAAGATAAAATATTTGTTTAAATGAAAAGATAACGGATAACCAAACAATCCCAATACGTACCTATTTTGATAATTCATATATTTTGTATCTCTGGGAATTGTACATAACTGTTTACCATAACAGCAGAGAACCTGAGGATGAAAAACATGTTTTCTGCCACAACAATAACCTAACCCTTGCATAACAGGATCTATTTCTTGTTCAAATACTTCGGATAACTGTAAAGAAAATGAAAAGATTCGAAATTAAAACCGGTAAATATAATATTTCTTACGATGGTGAGTTCGAAAGAAATGAAAAACGAACTTACTTTGGTACTATATCTATACACTCTTGAAGTTTTCTTATTATACAGCCAAGCATTATCAAACATCAACCAAACGTCATCTACATACTGCCATGGATCTGAATATTGACCTGTAAATGTAATGAAATAGTAAAATGGTTAGTATAAAAAATTTGACAACCAAAGTAAAAAGTCAATATGCTAGACATTTACCTGTATCAAGCTTCCTCTTTATTGTTGATAAGTCCATAGGCTTCTTAATAATGTCAAAATAATCAGGTATTTGTAACAATGTGGGATCAACTGGTTGTCGGAATGGAAGTGATTCAGGGTCTTGGCGATACAATTTCTCTAATGTTGGCATTAGAGCTTGCCGAAGTTCGTCTGGTTTGAACACTTTTCTCTGTCGAGTAGAGTTAGATTTTGATATTGTAGATGAGATAGCGGACGGTGTAGATGTTGTGGTTATTGATTGTTTAACATCATTTTCAATTTTCTCTATCGGCGTTAAAGCAGAAGATGAAGATGAATTGGGAGGCTTTTGATCGGTTGTTGTAGATATGGAATCTTCAGGCTCCTCTTTCTTAACTTCAGGTTTAATACTGTTAGTCATTGATGTAGTTGAAATCGTAGATGTTGTTGATGGTTCCATCTTCACTAAAGATGGTAGATTATCATCACAGGTAGATACCGCTTCTTGTTTCACAACAGTAGAACTAGTTGAAGGTAGACCATTGGTTGTTGATGTCAATGAACACGTTGTTGTCGATAAAATATCGTCCAAAGGTTCACTTTTAATAACAACCTGTTGTTCCATAGGTTGCATTTGAGATGGAGGCCTATTGAGTTGTTGTTGCAACTGTTGTTGCTGTTGTTGTTGTTGTTGTTGCTGCTGCTGCTGCTGTTGCTGTTGCTGTTGTTGTTGTTGTTGTTGTTGTTGATGATGATGATGGTGATGATGATTCTGTAACACAAAATAGTGAAAAAGATTAGTTAAATCACAGTTGTAAAGATCAAAATTTGAATTAGATGGAGAAAATAGTTTACCTGTAAGTCTATCATAGACTGTTGTCCAGATTGTTGTATTGATTGAGGTGCAGTTTGGATTGATGATTGAGATGTTGCTTGTTGAGGTGGTGTCTAAGGAAGAAAATGAATAATTGTCATTAATTAGCAAGATGAAAAGTATCAAGCGAAGGATAGAAGAAAATGAGAAATTGATTAGATACTCACTGTCATCGAATTCTCAATCGCTTCACTAGACAATCTATTCTGATGAGACTGAAGGTTTTGATTGGGTAATGTTTGTGGTGTTAAAGTTGGTACTGATGCACAACGAGGAGGTGGTGGAGTCGCTGTTGATGCAAGAGGTTGAGGTGTTGTTGGTTGTTGTTGCAACATTCCTGATAAAGTTGTACCATTATTTGAATTGGTAATGAAATTATTATTTGAATTGGACCTAATCTGAATTTGAGAAGTAGCTTGAGCTGGTGGACCAGGAGGAGAAATAAAATATGAGCCCGGAGGTAATTGATTAGATTGAGATGGAAACCTATTAGATGGTGATGGTATTGTCACATTTGGTGGTGCACCGGTTGAATTGAGTCTAGCCCTAATTGGTTGGGTTGGTTGTTGTTGGTTGATGGGTTGAGGTGTTGGTGGTCCTGTTGGGGTGGGAGGCTGGAGTGGTGTTTGCGCTAACATTTGTTGTGGTCTTAAAGTATTAATTTGATTAGGATTCACTTGGAGTGAATTAGGGGCTTGAACCGAATTCGCAGCAGCTTGTTGTTCTTTTCTCTTCTGCCGTTTATCTTCCAACTCTTTCTGAATCTTATATATTTTCTCGGCTAAAAGATGATAATATTCTTCTCTGGAATTTGCCTTTTCATACATGTCACCTTCTACTTTACGAGCATATCCAACTAAGTTAACCATTCGACTATCTTTGACCGCCGATGGATCTGGAGTAGGGAATATGGCTTGAACTATCTTTTGCACCAAGTGATTACGAAGCTCCATGGGCACAGACGCATGCCATTCTTTAACTTGTTTAGGGTTTTGAAGTTGATCTGTAATCTGTGGAAAACCTTGTATTCTTGATGAGATTTGTCCTGGAGGTGGTGGTGTACCAGTGGGATTATTATATGGAAGACCCAATGCTTGATAAGCTTTTTGCATTCCATCATTTGTTGATTGTTGCAAAAATTGAGTCGATTGAGGTGGTGGAGGCGGGGGTTGTGATTGCGGTTGCTGTTGGGGCGGCTGAGCATTAGGAAGTTGGGAATTAGGCTGTAAATAAAGAAAGAAAAAGTAAAAAATTAAAAATAAGCAAAAGACAAAAACGAGTAAAATCAAATGGAAGATGAAGAGATAGTAAATATTTTGTAAGTAAAATCATGTACGATGTTAGCACACGAATTGAGATAATGATAAAAGTTATTGTAAAGAAAAGGTGAAAAATATTTTCCAGTAAAAAGAAATCAAGTGTTAAAAATAAATGAATATTGTTAACACCAACAGGTTAAAGCCTAATTTCAAGTTTTGATTGGGGCGCCAATAACATGACAACGTAACACATTGATGTTGTGTCACAAGGTTCACAAACAAAATTTAACCAAATATCAATATGGATTAAAATGACACACGTACAAGTAACAACACAGATATTTACATCATTATAAATATAAAAATGGCGAATGATAATAAAATTGTCATTCAAGGTATCAACTGTTGATAGGCGATTCAAACTATTTAATTGACAACGAAAACTAGAGAAACACTTGTGTGTTTGTGTGTGAAGTAAGGAGAAAGAAAAAAACATAAAATCAATGGTAAAAACTTACAAATTGAGCCTGTTGATTAGGTAAGGGTTGGGTTAATAAGAGTGTGGCGACCTGTTGTTGTCTTCGATCAGATGCTTGTTTTAACGGCAAACAGACAGGACAATCAGTACGTGTACAGTTTTTCCAGTGAGATATAATTTGCCTGGAGCTTGCACAATGAGATACTTTACATTGTTTACCTAAAAAGAGAGACACAGAGAAAGAGAAAGAGAGAGAGAGAGAGAAACATGAGCAACAATGGAAAAAAAACGTACGTCTTAAGGTAGAAGGAAGTGAAAAACACTCTAAATGAAAGGGTTATTCTTACCATCGTTACAAGTCTGCATATGATTAAGAACATTCTTCATTGTCCTACAATGAGGCAGCGTACAAGGTCTCTGTTGACCTCCGGTACCATTCTGTTGTTCTTGTTCCCTTCTTTGACATTTATGGGCATGAAGAAGTAAAACTAATTGTTGTTGGATAAGTTTTCTTTTTTCAGCTTCGGTTGCATGTCCACCACCGGGTTGATTAGGTTGTGGTGTTAATTGACCAACAGCCTGTGGAGAGTTTTGCGGTTGGACTTGAAGTAATTGAGATCCAGGTTGACTTAATGACTGAGATGAAGGGGGAGGTGGAGGAGTGTTATATCTAAATTGGCCCTGCTGTGGCATTCTGGCTTGTCCTTGTTGCTGTTGAGGCTGTTGGACTTGTTTTTGGTTGTCACTGTCAGAGAAGGAGAAAAAAGTAAACAACAAAGATTAGATGAGAATAGAACAATCAAATTAAGGTAAAGTAAAGACACAAAGAGGTAACATAAAGTAACTTGAGATAAAATGACAGGAACAACGGTAAAGGTACAGAAAGGAATCAAGAATGAGTAAGGTAAGTGAATCAACATACGCGTACAGAGGTGAACCAAAATTTTGCTGGTGCATGAATTGTGTTGGTGACAACAATTGCATATGGGTTTGTTGCTGCTGTTGAGGTTGTTGTTGCTGTTGTTGTTGCTGTTGTTGCTGCTGCTGTTGTTGTTGTTGTTTGATATTGGGAGGATTTGTGTATCTAAGTTGATTTTGTAAAACTGGTCGGGATCCCGGCACCATTCCACTAATCATTTGAGGCTGAATGGTGGTAGGAATTAACTTCTGTTGTACATTGGGTGTCTGAGTCTTGGCTTGAAGAAGTTGTGACAATTGTTGATGATTTTGAGCCGGCAGTGGCGTTTGTTGATTAGGCTGTTGCTGTTGTGGTGTTTGTTGTTGGTTTTGAGGTTGGGGAGGTGGTGGCGGTAAACTGGTGGTAATAGAAGTAGTATTTACAACATTCGCCGATGAAGATATCCCAATATGTGATATTGGAATACTAGAGTTTATTAGAGTAACATTGGTGGTTGCCAGCAAAGAGCCATTGTTAGTTAAGGAATCACAGGCGCCTGGAGCAGTTGACGATGAGGATAATGTTGAGGCAAGTTCATCAGGTAGATTATTTTCAAGATCCCATAATTGTGAATCACTTGGACCAAGTAAAGAATCAGTAGAATCACTTAATTTTAACCTTTTATTGGGCGTGGGTCCTGGTCCGGGCATACCATTACCCCCACCACCAACACCGCTTGACATATTACCAGACCCTGATGAGCCAACAACCGAAAAAGAAGTTGACACTGTACAGGTTGGACTGACCGAAGATGAACTGGTGGCCATGGTGGTTCTCCCCTCTCTCTCTAAAGCTAAGAAAAGAGAGAGTAAGGAGAGAGAGAAAAAAACAGAAGAAAGGAAAAATAGAAAGAGAGATAGATGAAGTAAGAATAGTCTTTCTTTTTTCTTTTTATTTTTTTTTACTTGGCTGATGCTCACAATAGAGAAAATCCCTTTCTTATACAATATACATCGCACTTTTTTTTCTTTTCTTTCATAGATTAAATTTACATAATAGAATTGATCGTATCATAATTAATTAATTGAAACAAAAAAATATTAATAGAGTTTCACAAATAAATAAGAAATTAAATAGTAAACAATTTACATTTCAAGTAGAAAGAGAGTGAAGAAAGAGACACCAAAAGAGACTCAACTCAACTTTGATAACGCTTTTTACAAGCATGCGCAGAGCGATTGGCTTATGAGCTGCAGAAAAATTCTCATGGCGTCAGCCGCCATTTTAGACTAGAATTTTGTCCCAATTGATTAATATTTTTGTTCCAAACAATTTCAATTAATTGATAATATTTTCTCTTTCACCTCTTTTCTCCTCTTCACCTTGATCGGTTTACATTTGGTTAAAGTTCATCTCTGTTATTGATCTTGAGAAACTGATTGAGTTAATAAGCCGATTGTTGATTTTAAATAATCCAATCAAAAGTTTTTGCGGTTAATATAAATTCTGAGAAAAAAATTATTAATTTTCTTTCTTCTTGTTTTATTTTTTGGAGAATTGGAGTTTTTTTCTTGACTTTTTTTTATTTAGAATATTTGTCTTGGAATTGTCGAATAGGTTTACTTTATATAAATGAGTTCTCTTGGAAATGAGATGAGAGTCGTTTGAAATTCTGGTTTGAAAATCGTTCAATAAGTTCAGAGCTCAGGGCTACATGTTTGAACCTCGTTCTTTTTCAAGTGGCCATTGTGATTGAATAAATTTCTGTCAAGAAAAAGATGAAATTTGCCATGTAGAAAAAGTTTTCTCTCCATCAAGTCTTGTAATCCAAATCAGTTTAATTAAAGCAACAATTTCAGACAATTTGACAATTATCATAAATTTTCATTCTGGTAAAGCAAAATGACTTTTATTTTGTTCTGAAATTGAAAATTCACAAACAAATGCAACGTAAACAATTAACTTCAATATTTACTTTAAAAGATTAACCAGATAGCTGAAAATTCAAGAGTTAATTCAATCAAAAGTATTAATAATTAATCATTTCCACAAACAATTGCGCTTTATTTTCTTGAGCTTAGTTGCTGCCGAATCTATTAGATGGCTGCATGCTCTTCATTTTCTATGGAAAAAATAACCGATAATTCAACCGGTAACCGGTTAGAATAACCGAGAAAAAGTAAACAATTAAACTTTTTTTGTCACGTAAATTTAATTCTGTGATTAGAGAAGGTCAAAGTAATCGAATCTATCGATGTTGGATCACTGACCACAACTCGAACTCGAATGAAGTTATCGTTCGTTTTTATGGCAATTCTTTCATCAAAGGAACAACCGATTCGAAAGAATCGAGAGAACGAGAAGTTCTAATCAGTTATATTATTTCGGAGAAAAATTTAGGACCCAAATTAATTGGAATCTTTGATGGTGGAAGAATCGAAGAGTTTATTCAGGTAAGAACATCAACTCAATTCCATCATGAAAATTAACTTACTTGATGAACTTGATTTGACTTTAATCATTGATAGTCGACAACACCGACTCGTGAACAATATGAAGGACCATCGATGTTTGAAATTTTGGCCTCAAAAATGGCGATGATTCACTCGTTAAGATTACCCTTTTCTCGTTCCGTTGATCTGGCCAATTATTTACTCTCAATGATCACAAATCTCAAATCAAATTCAGTATTGCTTGATTATCGTTCTGGATCAAAAGTAAATCAGTGGTCGGAGAGATTGTGTTCCTTTAATTACTCTCGAGAAATTAACTGGTTGATTTCAATTCTTGATTCTATTCCATCAAAAGTTGTCTTCTGTCATCGAGATCTTAACCGATCTAATATACTAATTCGAGAAAGAAAAAGTATCGAACATGGAACAACAATTAAAGATCCCTTCGAATTTTTTCTTTCGTGCAATCAGTTGATTAAATTGTAATCATAGGCTGAAGATGAAATTGATGTTTCGAAAGGTAAACAGTCTTACTCGAAACAATTTATTCTGTAAATTAACTTGAGACATTCCTTAATCTCATGAAATCAGTTATTTCATGACTGAAATGTCTCGTATGTGGAGCCACCGATGTAACTGAAACTCATTCCATATCAAATCAATGAATGAATTCAGTGTTATTCTGACTTCCAAGTGAATCACAAGAACAACATGGATTGGATTTTATATTAACGCTAATTATGATTATTTCGTTATAATTCACGTGGTTATTTTAATTATCCTGTCAATCGTTCAATGAAAAACTTAATCAATTAAGTTAAAATTAAAAAACAGTCAATCATCAATTAAAAATGTTAACGGTGTTAATTCATAAGTGTCGTTTACGTCGTGAGTCCAAGACCAAAAGGACTTTTTAATTGTGACTCGTTTTCTCAAGGATAATTAAGGTAAAAATTATGATTTTTTCTCTAACATCTATTTTCACCCTTCATTTAGTTGATTTCATTAGTTTAACTTGAATGATTCGTATCTTTAATTACAAGAATTACGCTGAAAATTAATAAACATCATGGAAATGGTTTGAAACAAGATATTCAATGAAATTGCGTTCGAAACTTGAAAAGTTTTTTTTTCGTGATAAAAACGGATTAGAATCGGAATGGATCCTTTTAATGACCTGCCAGTAGGTAATAAAGATAAATATACTAGAGAGAGAGAGAGAGAGAGAGAGAGAGAGAGAGAGAGAGAGTCATTATTGGCACTTCGATCATTGATTAAACTATTATCATAATTATTTCAATCATTGATCATGTGAACTCGTAACTTTAAGTTCAACAGTTCGAGTGAGAAAAAGTTGTGAGTTGGATTTCCGATGCCTTCAGATCAATATCTCTTTTGACTTACAGAACTTATTTATCATGTAACATGATGACCAGATTACTGGTCAGTTAAATAACTCTGAGTAAATAAAATACACACACGCTCACCAATACAATCAATTGTTTCGGTGAAATATTTTTTTCTCATTCAACATAACAGTTATTTAATTAATCATTTGTAAATTTTTTTTCTCCTCTTGATTCAAGTTCATCAATCAATTCTGAATGCTGGAGTAAAAGTTTATATTCCCCTTGCAATGAGCAAAAAAAAGTTCGAAACTCAGAATTTCAGGGAAGAGAAAGAAGAGGAAATTTTTCATGGTAATGATGATTTTCAGGTACAATCATACATCTAAAAGATTATCTATCATTCACTGAATTCGTTATTAATTTTACAATTCATCCGAATGAACTTCAATTATTCACCATGAATTTTTCCTTACATGAGAAAGCAACTACATGTAATTGCTTCAAGGCCGAAATATGATCATCATCATGGACACAAAGAATGAATCAGAAAATGAATATAAATATTTTCTTGATATTCCTAAGAAAAAAACTGAATGAAATGTCCAGAATTCATTCATTAGCTGGAATTTGATATAACTTTTTTTTTATTCTTATTCTATTAAGTTGAGAACAAATAAATTCCGAGTTCCAATAAAAAGTAACAGTAATACTTTCATTTTTCATAGCACTTTCTCATTCATGGTAATGCCCTGAATCTCATGTTAATTCAGTGGGAATGATTAATTTCCGGTTGATTTATAGCATTTGAATCTAAAAGTATAACCCAAATAATCAGAGACAATCAAAGTTTAAAAGTTAATCACTTGTGACAAACAGAAATTAACGAAACAAAAAAATCAATTGAGCAAATTAACTGACGATTGTTGAATGTTTAAAAGTAATCATGAACTAATCAGCCAATCAATGAGTTGAGTGATTTATAATTAAAATGAAAAAAAGTAACAATCTTGTTAATAGTTAACAAAATGTTCACAAATTGAATGATAATTATTATCAAATTGATTGATTATCTTGCTCCACTAATAAAAGTGTTAAATATTAATGATGAAAACAAAACTAATATACAATTTTAATGATAAATGATGAAGATGATAATAATTATCCAAATAATGGTGATGATGATCATTAATAATCAATGGATGAGGTAAAAAAAGATAATAATTCCAAATGATAAAACGATATCACCAAATAAAAAGGTAATCCAATCAACAGACTAATATATAAATCACCCTGGATAATAATCCCCATGTCACCTTTGGTACACTCATATGATTATCTAATAACCATAGGAAGTTGATTCCACCCAATGAACACCAGAACTGAATCAGAATAATTCCAAAAATTTCAATTTGTTCTCTCATTGTTCTGATCAATGTCCCATAACATGAACAATTTCAATGTTCTCATGGAATAACATCTGAGAATCAGAATTTGATTTATCGATACCATTTGTCTCTCTCTTTCATTATCTTTACCCTCGGCGGATGGAAAGTTTATTATCTCCATCTTAATGATCACTTGGGTTCCTCTTAGTTTCAGTTTCCTTATTCATCATCTTCATCCTCATCCTCATCTTCCTCTTCTCCAACCCCCTCTTTCCAATTTCCTGTCAACATATTCGGATAACAATATATTCCATTAACCTTGATTAGTTTCAAAATCTACTCAGAACCTGATCATGGTAATTTTTTCATTCTCTCATCGGTGTATATCTGATATGAAACAATATCATTTAATATCATCATCATCATCGTTATTATTATCATTTAGGAATAAAATATTCTCACGATAGCATAAGATGAATATTATATCATGATAATCATCCTCATCGCCAAATAAAACATGATGATGGAGAAGAAAAAGTTTGCATGTTTACTTTAATGTTTAATTCTGATGAGATTTGATAGTTAACCTGATTTCCATCGATTTCATAATCTAGAACCTTTTCTATTCAACTTGTTCTTTGTAAATTTACAATTCTGATACTTGAATAATCTGATATTCTTATTGTTTCCTAAGTTCTTTGTGTGTAGATATTTCTGTCGATTGATTGAATTCGTGCCTCTTTCTATTATACAGACTGTTGTTTCAATCTGCCAGAGATTCAGTGACTCTGGATGGAAATAGAGTTTACTAGGAATTAAGACTCACAGAGGTGAAGATTATTGAGAAACATTCAGGAACATTTCATGTTCATCTGAGTGGAATAGGAAAAAAAATGTTCTGACGGATTTGAAGTAAGAAATCATATCGATGGAAATGAAAAAAGGTCAAATAATGTACAGAATTAGTGAGAATAATTCTGAAAACTTTTCTTTTCTCTGGTTCTTTTTTTTCCAGTCGAAAACTATAGAATTATTATCATCATCATGTTCTTATCATCTTATTATATCATGAAGCAAGAAAGAGAGAAAAAGTTTTCATCTGTAACAATAATTCTGATGATAAAAGTTCTGATATTGTTTTTCTTCTGGTTGACTTTTCATTTCAGAATCAAAAACATCGCCTTAGGTTAAAAACTGTGAATCAACTGATCAAAACTATCATGAACACGATAATGTTACCATGAAATTTTTTCTCTCCCAAATAAGAAAAAAACTTTACTGATCAGCTAAAAAGTTTCATGTTCAAGAGCTTCATGTTATCCCCATCGTATTTTAATTCACCATCATGGGTTTTGAATTTGTTTCAGAATTTGTCTGAGTAGAAAAGTCAAATTGTTCATTCATTTCAAAAAACCATCACGATTGAATAACTTGATCATCATCATGAAGCAAAAAGGAGGGAAGAGGAAAAATTTAAACACTCAAATTAAGCCTACATGATGATGTAGATAATGAGTCATCACCATGAACATAATCATCTATCACAAAATCCTCATGCTGGTCAATTTTTGCAGACTCATTGAATTTAAACATTTATTACTCTTAATCAGCATGAATATCATCATCTTGATTGTTTCCTGGCCAATTCAATTTTTTAAACAATTTACTGAACAATATCAATTCAATAAACTGGAAAACTTGACAAATTGTTGACTCAATGATTTAATTATCAGTTGACCAAATCAAATGGTCAAATATTGTACATTCAAGATTATCATCATAATGACCATCACATAAATGACCCCATCCTATTAATCAACCCAATCATCTTAATCATCATCACAATTAATATCATCTTTAACCCATTTAACCCGATTCCTGGAACCTTATTAACAGTTGATTGTTTTTAATTAACTTGTATTCATTTGAAATGGTCACTTTTGTGGATGACATTGTTTTCCCATCTTCATCATCATCATCATTTATCATCTTAAGCTTGGATAAACATTATGAACAATAATATAGTCTTAATGTTTCATGATAATGATCATCATCATGGTAAAGATGATGAGATTAGAATTTATTTTTATCCAATCAAGACTCTGTTCTGTATATTTGTTGACATTAAAAACTGAAGAAAAATTTTCTCGAGTATCATGATGATGAAGATAATTATCCCCATCATCCTTGAGATAATTTCTTACCTGAAAATTGTGATTAACAGGAAGATAATGATGATAATCAAAATGGTTTAATGGTTAACACGTAAAAAAAACTAATATAAATATAAAATCAAATGAGGATCAATTTTAATTGCCAGTTTAACACATAAGAGTTTTTTTTCATCCACCATCATAATAATAATTAGTATGCTAAGGTGAATCTCAGCCATCGCTATGATAATGGTCATTATCATAGGGATGAAATAAAAACTGACCATTATTACATTTATATCTGTAATTTTGATATTGAACAGAAAGATAAACAATAAACTTAATATTGTCATTAAGTTTTTATGAGTTTGAAATTCAGTTGAAGACGACAATAGTTACATAAACATCCTGATGACCAAATAAAAGCAAACAAATAATAACAATAAAAAAAGCTTTTTGTTTCATATCCCTTTGGTCATTATCATCATCATGTTATCACCATGATAACGATAAAAATTAGCCATACCCTTGACCAGTCAGAGTGTGAGAGGGATAATTATACTTTAATGGATTGAAACTAATTATTATTATGTATGTATGATATACCATTAGACTGGGAGCCTCAAAATTTTGGTTTAAAATGACCACTGGGAGTTGGACAATGGACATAATCAGTATGGATAATCATGAATTTAAAAGTAAAGACTCAGTGGACTGTTGAACAATTAGACAGAAAACAATTAATAACACTTGAATTATCATTATTTCATCATTGAGAAAAGATAAAACTATTAATTGAAGCAGAAATTTTACTTTTTCTAGTGTAACAATTAACTCACCTAATCAACGATATATTTGCTCAATTTATATTTGAATATATCTGTATTATGTTCACACATGAATATAATTGAATCAATATTTTCAATTATACTGATTATTAATCAGCTGAGGATTATAATTAAAAGCAGTTGATTAACACAGTTATTCACTTAACCTGACAAAAACATGATTCTGGTAACATGGTAATTTTATCCTCATCATCAACATCATTATCATGTTT